CGGCATCTAGATTCCAAGGGTCAACAGGTTTCAGTACCATCTCCCTTGATTCTACTGTGTTGTTAATAGGTGCGACATTAAACTAGAGGTGGATTGTTGCTGTTGGGTTGTAGCTTCAGAAATGACCCACCTTTGATTATCCCTCATAGATATTGTGACTCACAAATAGATGCAGTTAACCCCAATTTGTTTAAATTCACAGAGAAATACTTAAAGAAGTATAGTGATAGGTAAGCATCTAGATTGCATCCTGGCTAAGGCTGATGATCATTGCCATATAACGCCTAGGTCACTGTTGCTCATTCACTAATATTGGTAGAATTGTTGGAACTTTTGTGGAAGAGTATGTTTAGAGTTGGGGTTATCACACATTTTAAAATTTCATCTACTTCATCTACTTTGTCCTTAAGCAAGTTGCAAGGTTTTAACATTTGAAACAAATTGTTTCCTTCATGTCATTCTGAAATCTGTTGTATACCAAATTCTCTTCATGTCTTATCTCCATTTTTTCTAGACCTTTGTGATTCATCTGTTAGCCTAGAGCACAGAATATGATGGCAGCTTTCCATTCCTAAGAGTCATGTACTCCACCCTTAAAACCCCCCCCACAAAATTACAGGACTTCTGTCAAACTGCTTTTGTGATTGCTGTCAGTCGAGTTCTTTGCAGTAAATTGATGATACTGTATAATCAAGATACACTTTCTGAGAATAAATATTTTTTAGCTACCATATAAATTCCAAATAGCTGAATGGAATTATGGCATACTTTATTGCACTGTGTGATAAGTGATAGGAGAGACGTTCTAGGCAAGAGCATTTAATTAGGCTGCCATGGGAGAAACAGCATTCAATTTCTTGACTCTTTATTCATTCCACCACTCAACACAGTAGCATATTTTCATGGTCTGTTGCATTTTAATTTCCTCTTGTTAAAAAGGTCAATACTGGTGATAAAAGTCTTAGAAATTAAAGAATGTGATCTTTTGAGAAACTGGTCACCTTTTAGGGCCCTGATATTTATTTGCTGTTTTAGTGATTATGGTATACACAGCCCCAGTGTTTTGTAGAACTGTCATATCAGTACACAGATATTTCTTTACCATCCTCCACACCACTTCATGTATCTGGCAAAGAAATGTTTAGAATGTGAACATTCATGTGTATTAAATGTGGTTATTCAAGCACCGCTTGGAAACAATCAGAAAGAAGATATTGTACATACATGTATGCCTGAACATGACTTCTTCAACTTTTTCCACCAGAAACCCCTTTTCACCAAGAAATGTTTACATGACCCCAGACATATAGGTATATGAAATAGCCATCAAGTAAGATTAGTATTTGCAAGGCTTGCAAAACAAGGCAGGCTAATTATCCTTTTTATGAAGTACAGTTGAAGCATTTGCTGCACATGGTTGCTAACAGATTAATGTAGATGCCTAAAACAGTCACTAGATGGCAAGCTACATAATGTTTTGCTACTCTCACATTCAGTTAGGAGCCCCCAAATAGGGTCACAACTTAGTTTAAGAATCTTTCTGCCAGAATATTAACATGAACAATTTTCTAATTATTAAAGTGTATTTTAGTAGACTGCCCTCATCAATATAGGTCAGAGTCATGCTGGTGAACTACATTAATGGTTGTACTTTTGCCAGGCTCACACATAAGTGGGGATGGAAGACCTAGATCTTCTTGGCATCCTGCTTCCTTCATGACCAATCCAGCCATGACATTCTGCCCTCCTGTTTACCAAGTTATTAAAACTTTGTTTAATGAAAAAGGTACAAACAAATACTCAGAATCTCTTGGCCTGTAAAACAGTGTCTGTAATCCAAAGAATTGTGGCTGACAAGTAGCTTAGAAGAGGTAATTTGGAAAATTAAGTGCTGGTATGATAGACTTAAATAATTTCAGGATTTCTTTTGCTGATGAAGACAGAAATGCAAGGAAAAAATAGATGGGTGTAGATCAGGGATGTCAAAATCATTTTCACTGAGGGCTTCAATAGGGCTGTTTGTAAGTGTAAGACTTTATAAATGCAACTACTTTTTAACATATTGTTAAATAATCCGAGACACCATATGGCCAGTACAGTTACAACAACAACAACAACAACAATGCTTTATGTCCCACTCCCTCTCCCCGAAGGGACTCGTTGTGTGCCTTCAATGTCAACTCTTAAGGTGAACCTATCACTGGGTTCTTTTGTCCTTCTTCTTAAGCTAAGAGTCTGTGACTTGTCCAGGGTAACCCATTGGGCAGCCATTCCTAAGAGGGAATTTGAAACCTGGTGCCCAAAATTGTCATCCACATTTGCTATTGGATAGTTTAGGGCCCGCGCTTGGCAGAAGAGGTGGTACCAGCATGTCACAGACCACATAAAATGATGAGGTGGGCTGAATTTGGCTCAAGGGCCTTGAGTTTCACACGTGTGGTGCAGATGGAAGTAGATACAGTTTACTTGAGTACTGTATATATGAGTCTTCTGTATAAGCTGGTCTCATATATAAGTCAAGGTCAGATTTTGCAACCAATATTATGGCTTTTGATATGACTTATGGATAAGTCACAGGTCATTCTGTGGAGAGGGAAAAGTGCCAGCACTGCCTGGGCCAGGGAGAGGCAGTTGCCATTTTCCTGCCCAAGCATTCTTTTAAGTTGTTTTGGTGCTTCTTTTAAGTTGTTTTGGGACAGACTAATCTAATCTATCACCACTCTACTGATATAAGGGTTGTTGCTTTTTTTATAAAAGTTAAAGCACACATGGATAAAGTACCCATAAAAAGTTGACCTTTTTGAGGAGATGAGATTTTTCAACTAAAATATTTAGACTTCTCAATGAGCATATACATTCGTTATATAAATGAGATAACTTATAATGTGATTGGGGAAGAAATGAGGGAATTTATAATTAGTTGCTGGTTGTCTCTTGCTATGTGTGCACCATGTTTCTTAGTAGGAAAAAATACTGTCCCTGTAATAATTAGAAATTTAGGGAGTGTAACACAGAGTAGGATTTGCAAAGTTCCTTAGAAGGAAATGAACTGAATATAATATATACTTCCATTCCTTAAGAAAGTCTATCCTGTTCAGGGAGCTGAAGAAATAATGACTTGGCAGAAGGAATTCAAAGAGGAGTGGTGACGGCTGGGGAGGGGGATCCAATTGAAAAGAGTGTTGAAAAGTGTGCTGGTCTTCTCCAGAGGAGGGATTCAAATAGAAGAGGGGGCAATCCCACTGAAAGAAGTGTTTTAAAACTGTGCTAGTCTTCTTGCCATGGAGACATCGCCAGCCTGTGTGATAGGAAATTAAGCAGATGGTTGAGCTAGAAATGGGAGGAAGTGATCCTGTGTGACGGGGGTGAGTAAATTCTCCATCTTGTTTAAAGATGAACACCACAGAATGCTACATAAAGAAGATGATTCCACCCACTTCCCCAATCCCCTTATTGGATCAGGCCCTATGACGTGCTGCTGATGACAGGAGTGGAATCCAGTGGATTTGGTCTAATGATAGAATTATCTTTGGAAGTGGGAAGTGCCATTCTCTTTCTGACTATCAAGCCCTTTTCCTCTGCACTCTTAAGATCCTGCTCAGGGAGACTTAGATCTGGCCGGGGTGGTCCACGCCTTGGTCACCTCTAGAATGGACTACTGCAATGCGCTCTACGTGGGGCTGCCCTTGAAGACGGCTCGGAAACTTCAATTGGTCCAGCGGGCAGCAGCCAGGATGCTAACTGGGGCTCATTATCAAGAGAGGTCTACCCCTCTGTTTAAGGAGCTCCACTGGCTGCCATTTATTTTCCGAGCCCAATTCAAGGTGCAGGTGCTCACCTACAAAGCCCTGAACGGTTTGGGACCACCCTACCTGCGTGACCGCATCTCCATCTACGAACCCACACGCTCACTCCGATCATCTGGGGAGGCCCTGCTCGTGATCCCACCCACGTCGCAAGCGCGCTTGGTGGGGACACGGGACAGGGCCTTCTCTGTGGTGGCCCCCCGACTTTGGAATGCCCTTCCAAAAGATCTTCGACAGGCCCCTACTTTAGCAGCTTTCAGAAAGAACCTAAAAACCTGGCTGTTCCGATGTGCCTTCTCAGATTAGGAATTCCCCCATCCCAAGTCCTAGAAGCACTTTAGCACAACCGATGTTACTGCACACCGCACCTTTTAATCCATGTTCCTCCTGCCATTTCAGCATTTTAACCCCTGTACCCCATTGCGCCGGCCGAACCAGTTTTAATTGTGTCTTGAGGTAGTTATTGTTGTTATTTTGCTTAATTGTTTTGATTTGCTTTGTTTATTATTGTGTTATGTTTTTTTTATTGTATTGTGTTTTGAGGCTCCGGCCTGTGTAAGCCGCATCGAGTCCTGCGGGAGATGCTAGCGGGGTACAAATAAAGTTAATAAATAATAATAATAATAATAACCCTTCTGGAGTCAGTTTTCAGGTGAAAAAGAAAATGTACATTCGCATACTGTTAACCCTAGGGTAGAGTTCATTGGTTTGTTTAATTTATTTATTTATTTATTTATTTACTTTGCTTATATACCGCTGTATCTCAAGCCCGAAGGCGACTCACAGCGGTTCACAAACAGTAGAAACAGCAGTGGTTCCATACAACATATAACAATTGACTTAACACATTATCCATAAATTACCAATAAGCAATTACAATGCACAATTATTACAAAAAACAACCGTACCCAATCTTCTCACACCTGCTGGTGTGAAAATATGAGAACAAACAAGGTCTACAGTGAAGGCTATAACAATATACAATTAAAGCAAGCAAGAACATAAAAAAAACATAAATGGGTAAGCCTATTAAAATCATTTTTAAAGCATTCTTGGAGCATAGATAAAATAAAAGTTCATAAATAAATATAGAAGCAACAGTTTGCTTTTTAAATTTTTTACCAACTTGTAATACTTTAAAAGTTGTTCCTAGATTGTATTCATATCATAATATAACTATATTTTTGATTTCAGCTTCCAGCAGATCTTACCAAGATGCATCTCACAGATGGCCAACATCAACAGGTGACACATGTCCCTTCAAGCCAGTCTGGCTGCAGCATTGCCAGTGATTCGGGAAGCAGCAGTTTATCTGACATTTACCAGGTAAATCTAAAATTTGATTTAACATTTTTATAGTGGAAGGACCTAGGAAAACTGCAGCATGATAGCGATTCACTGACATATGTATAAGGCTAAATACAAGGATTGCTGCATGAAAATGCATATATGATTTACCATGAATGTTACTATATGTCCAGAAGCATTCTACATTTTTACTCATGGACAGAAAAGGGCTTTATAGGGATTTTGTAACCCCTAATACAGTCACAAAATACTGCACACAGCTACAGAGTTCCATTGACTGGGAGACTGGTAAAGTCAGATTCCTAATAATGAGAGCTATGATTAGAAATAACGGCAGGGTTGTATACTCTCACCCAACCTATTCAACTTGTATGCAGAACACATCATGCGATGTGCAGGGCTTGATGAATGCAAGGCTGGGGTGAAAATTGCTGGAAGAAACATTAACAACCTTAGATATGCAGATGATACCACTTTGATGGCCGAAAGCGAGGAGGAGCTGAGGAGCCTTCTAATCAAGGTGAAAGAAGAAAGTGCAAAAGCTGGGTTGCAGCTAAATAAAAAAAACCCCCAAGATTATGACAACAAGAATGATTGGTAACTGGGAAATAGGAGAAACCGTGGAGGCCGTGATAGACTTTGTATTTCTAGGTGCAAAGATTACTGCAGACACAGTAGGACCACAACAGTGTCAGATGATAGCAGTTGTTTCATTGCTTTGAAATTGGAACGTCCAAACCTGTATCATCTGTTATAGCTCATAATGAGCTCTGGCCCTGTCTCTTTCTACTGAATAGGAAAGAGGTTTTGCAAATTCTGTCTAACCCCCCCCCCCCCCCCCCCCCCCCTCACCCCACTAATTACAACATGTGACTCAGTCAGAAATTACTTCAGAGGGTTAACCTGAACCTTTCCCCACCTCTGATTCTGCAGAGACTTTGACTCCTTCTATGAAAAATGAGAATTCTATTCATGTACACACCAAATAAAGGCACGTGAAAAGAGTGGAAAAGAAAAATATTTCAAGAAGAGCTTTTATTCTAAACAAGCTATCTTACATTTGCAAAAGTTTCTTACATTATAGTAGAACATACTTGCTTCCTTCAGTAGTTACAAGTTACAAAGAAGTCTAAATTATTTACAGACAATGTTAGAACGATACAAATTCTGTAACAATGAGAGAAATACTCCCATTTTTCTTTGGAACAATGAGGCAGGCAATACCTCTCTTTCCTCTCCCAAAGTCTCTCAAATCTCAAGTCTTTCCCAAGTCTCTCTTGTGCCTCATAACATCATGTTTTATAAACCTTAATCTTTGAAGCATGTTGTACCAGAATTGGTCATCCTCCTTGAGCAATGGTCTGTCGTGATCTTCGTTGCTCTTCTGTGATGCTAATCCCAATAGATATAACCAAACCCATGAATTCTTTGTTTACCTGGAGACTCTACCCTTAAGCTGTGTTATCCTTTAGCTGTGGAAGAGCCCCTTATCACACAGTTGATCAGAGATTTCTTACCATATGATATCCAACTCTAAATTAAATAATTTTTGAATTATAGATTATGATCAGAATTGGGCAGTGAAATGCATTAACAACTAGTCAGTGGTAATCAGCAACTAAGAAGGAGGAGTTCTCATTAGTATTTGTGTTTAGTTTCAAGCCCAAGCTTGAAACTTAACCTATAAGTTCCTAATGTGAAACTGATGAAGTAGTAGGCCAAAAATGTCTGAAGGGACATAATTTTATATCAAGTCTATTAGCACTGCACAGGTTGGTTGATCAGAAGCTTGGTTGCCTTGTAAGAAAAATAATAATGTTTTAATAAGTGAAGTAAACGTAAATGTGTTTCTTTTTCAGTTTACTTATCTTATTCAGAATGACTTACAGAAAAATATGCTTTCTATGAAAAAGTGTGTAACATAACAAATATCAAGTTTTGGAGTTAAAATTGTTATGAGAAGTGGGAAGAAGATGAGAATCCCCAAATTAAACCGTTACATTCAGACATTTGCTCCAGCTCTTGAGAGTGTTGTACTTTAAGGTACAACTCTCATGTGGCAAACCATTGGCTCATAAACCTCTAGGGTACAACTCTCATGTGACAAACCAGTAGCTTAGTGGAAGAGTATGTGTTTATAAAGAAGTATCAAGTTCAGTCATTTGATTCTACAGGTAGAATTGGGAAGAAGTTCTATCTAACTGGACAGTTACTAGCAAGAGATGACAATGAACTAGATGGTGCAATGGCTTCATTCAGTATTAGGCAGTTTCTTATATTTCTGCTTAATTCTCTCTATATGGATTCCAAAGTTGTGACTCTGTGTAAAGGCTGAAATTTGGCTATGTAGTAAACTCAACATCACCAGCCTCCTGTTGACACATTTTTGGTCTAAACCTTTGTAATCTGAGGAAGCAATTGGGGACAGAGCTGCAAGCCTGAAAAATACCTCACCAAAATATAGTTTCCATAGAGGAACAAATGCTTCAAATTGGAGACACAAACTCTCAGTTGCTTGGACTATTTCCAGCTATGTGTTTAACAGCCTAGGAAGACTCATGCGACAGGTGGGAAACAGCTAGACTATCCTACCAGAGTTTTTGCCAATTGAACTAGTGAGCATCAAATTCTTAGCTGTTCTAGATGTTTAGCATGAATTTTTTTGCTTGATGCATTCAGTTTTATTTTTCCTGATAATGAATGTTTGTCAAGATTAAAGTGTTGAATAATAAGACTGAGGCTGAAGCCCTTTACTTGTTTATGGTGTAGTAGGTCTTAATGAAATGTGATTTATATTAAAACACATCTAATTCAGTGATCAGATAATATTCAGTAGTACAAGATTTCTTCTACATTACTTCTGATTTTTCTGTATTCCTCTGGACACAATTGAGACAAAGTACCTTTATCCCTGTTAATTTCAGTGGAAGAGATTTAAGCACATGATTAATTTCCCATTGAAAATGATAGAATCTAAGTGCTTAATTTCAAATGTTTCTGTCTTCTTTAATTAATTTCTTAATGGTTTGCCACATGAGAGTTGTACCCTAGAGGTTTATGAGCCAATTGACTCCAGCTCAATTGCAACTTGTTGTGTCATTTTCTGACAAATATTTGCTAAATGCCTGACATTATTAGTGTGAAGATTCTTCTTCTTCCTCCTCTTCTTATTTATTTATTTCATTTCGGACAATTATATCCCATCCTTCTCACCCCTGGTGGGGGACTCAGGGCGGCTTCATTCATGAACTTGGATATAATTTCCATAGATCACAGCAAAGAATTATATGGCACACCTTTTACATTTTTATTAAGAAATAAAGAAAGCATATTTTGAAAATCAGAAATAATAGAAAAAGAACAACTGTCTAACTAGCCAGTACAAAATACAGTAAAACTACATCGATCTAACACATATTTACTTTAACATGTACATACTATAGAATCATAGAATCAAAGAATTGGAAGAGACCTCAAGGGACATCCAGTCCAACCCCCTGCCAAGAAGCAGGAATATTGCATTCAAATCACCCCTGACAGATGGCCATCCAGCCTCTGCTTAAAAGCCTCCAGAGAACGAGCCTCCGCCACATTCCAGGGCAGAGAGTTCCACTGCTGAACAGCTCTCACAGTTAGGAAGTTCTTCCTAATGTTTAGGTGGACTCTCCTCTCATGTAGTTCGAAGCCATTGTTCTGCATCCTAGTCTCCAGGGCAGCAGAAAACAAGCTTGCTCACTCCTCCTTATGACTTCCTCTCACATATTTATACATGGCTATCATATGTCCTCTCAGCCTTCTCTTCTTCAGGCTAAACATGCCTAGCTCATTAAGCCGCTCCTCATAGGGCTTGTTCTCCAGACCCTTGATCATTTTTAGTCGCCCTCCTCTGGACACATTCCAGCTTGTCAATATCTCTCTTGAATTGTGGTGCCCAGAATTGGACACAATATTCCAGGTGTGGTCTAACCAAAGCGGAATAGAGGGGTAGCATTACTTCCCTAGATCGAGACACTATGCTCCTATTGATGCAGGCCAAAATCCCATTGGCTTTTTTTGCCGCCACATCACATTGTTGGCTCATGTTTAACTTGTTGTCCACGAGGACTCCAAGATCTTTTTCACATGTACTGCTCTCGAGCCAGGCATCCCCCATTCTGTATCTTTGCATTTCGTTTTTCCTGCCAAAGTGGAGTATTTGCATTTGTCACTGTTGAACTTCATTTTGTTAGTTTTGGCCCATCTCTCTAATCTGTCAAGATTACTACATACATATAACTACAGAAACTATTCTATAACTCTCACACTCTCTTGATTTTTACCTCTTATTATTCTACTCACATAGTATTACATAACCACCCTTCTGCTTTTCATAACATCAATCTAATTCATGAATCCTGTTGAGATTTCCCCCAATTGTTGTGAAAAAGTAATAGACAAATATTTCCTAAAGTTTGCCAAAGATACCTCTTGATCAGCATATAGTCAGTTTGTTTATCTCCGCTAGTTCACAGATCTTTGCCAGCCATTTTCTTGCATTGGAATAATGGGTTCCTCCCATTGTGGTCTTTGATTAAATTTATTGTCTAAGGGCCCCTCCCTAACTCAATGTTTTCTGTAGAACTCAGGAAGAAGTCACATATTTTCAAATAACAAAAAATACGGAAGCCAGTATGATGTGCAAGCCAATGTTTTGTCATAAAATGTCACAGTTTGCTTATCCAAATTTTGTAGCTAGAATGTGATGCATGCCTTTGTCTTTTGAATTATACTTAAATGAAGGTGAAATATTCTTGTATTTCTCTACTTGCATTTGTTCAATTGTTGATACACTACTAAAGCTAGTGAGTATAGCTTGCCTGCCCACAGGGCTGCTTCAGGCTGGATTATAGAAGCTGTTCACCCGGAAGATGAACTATAGGCCCAGAGCAAAGTAGCTTATGCCACATTGTATGTACTCAGTGTTCAACAACCTGAAGATAAATCACCGATTTCATGTACAGGCAACAGAAAGTGAGATGGGAGATGTAGATTTAACTGGTCTCCCAGAAGCACCAGTAGATTCTGAAGATGAAGAGGAAGAAGATGAAGACATTGATAGAACTTCAGATCCCTTGCTGGGTCGAGATGTTGTACGGGAGTGCCTTGAAAAGGAACCTGCTGACAAAACAGATGATGACATTGGTGAGAACTAGAAACCTTTTTTCTATCCATAGAGTCTATATGCAGATTAGTGCCTGAATAAGTAGGACGGTATCAGCAAACTAGGAGGAGCCCCAGAGTTTTGTGAACACAAAATAACTATAGGACAGGTGGCTCAAAGTAACCCAGGCTTTGTGTGCTTAATGGGGGGAGGTGCGGGTGGGAACTCTGACTGACAGTTGAGGCACGGGTAGCAACAGAAAGCAAAAAGACAGGTGAGTGAAATGGGAGTATCCTGGATGCGAATGTGGCTAGCTGGACCTCTGAGCATAACTGTTCTATTATGTAGCATTATATATATATATATATACACACACACACACACACACACACACACACACACACATACACACACACACACACACACACACACACATATATGCATGCCCTGGCAATCCAGGATTGCAGACCTGGCTTTTCTGATACGGTTTATTTATTTATTTATTTATTTACAGTTCTTATATTCCGCCCTTCTCACCCCGCAGGGGACTCAGGGCAGATTACAGTAAACACATATATGGCAAACATTCAATGCCAGTTTGACAAACAACGTTTAACAGACAAATACATCGAGGCTATTTAACTTTTTTCTGGCCGCCAAGGGAGCTACTGTTTTTCATCGTCCATCAACGACAACGATGAAGTTCTTCCGCATTCCACATTCCCCGGAGTCTTTTTTCTTTATGGCCTCATAAATTAGTTAAATTTAGCCTCCTACACGAGGTGGTACCTTATTTTCCTACTTGACAGATGCAACTGTCTTTCGGGTTGCAAAGGTCGACAACGGGCTACACAATGGCTGGACACCCACTCCAGCCCGGGCTGGCTTCGAACTCATGACCTTTTGGTCAAAGTGATCTTAATGCAGCTGACACTCAGCCAGCTGCGCCACAATCCCGGTGTTTACTTATTTGCCTCCTTGCGTCTCTAAGAATTGTGGAGGGAATATTAGAATATCAACACTGTTGGAACCAAAGAACTGTGAGCAATAGAAAAATAGTTGCAAAGTTCTATAGCAATTCTCATGTTTCTGTTTGTACTAAGGATTTCACTTTCATGTGGGGCAGTAGTAGGGAAGACACTGCATTCACACAGGTGTCATTTAACTCAGTCCATAGAACTGCTCTTACTAACATTAAGTAACACAGAAATGCAAAACAAATCCCTGTAGAAATGCAAAATAAAGAATATGTAATATTTATTTCCACATAGAGTAGTTGAGCATTGTGTTATTTTATTTCTAACACGTTTTTCCTTTGGCTAGAACAATTACTAGAATTCATGCACCAGCTTCCTGCTTTTGCAAACATGACTATGTCTGTAAGACGAGAACTGTGTTCAGTGATGATATTTGAAGTGGTAGAACAAGCTGGAGCTATCATCCTTGAAGATGGACAAGAAGTAAGTAAGGTGTAATGGTATGGGCATTTTGCTTTGTTAACCTCAGGTGTTATTCTCTGTCAGAAAGGATGAACACTTTGATCGTGTTAATAGAAATTGCAGGAGGCCATAACCATCCCAATGCCTATATATGTTATCTGAACCTTTCTAGTGCCCAACAATTAATGGGTGCTACTGTTAACATCATCCAAGTCTTGAGCACCATTATTTACTAGTATAAGCCTTTAGCGTTCATCTTCCTCTTCCTTGGATGTGGCTTCTATAATTTCTCTGCCAAATTTCTCTATGTAAAATGCCATACATCTTTTTGCTAATCTTTGAGGGATCAGTGTCACTTTAAAACACACTTATTTTTGGAGAGCACACTGCAGATTGTCATATTCAGACACATAATTCTGCTCATAGAACTTACCTGTCCTTGTGTTGTTGGAAAATTCTGGTTGCTGACATAACTTAATGTCCATTATGGTTACCCAAATGGTTACATAATTATCGCAAGGGCTCATGAAGCAGCCATTGAGATATCATAGTGATGGTTGAGGTAATGTGGTGATTGGTAAGGTGACTGAGATAGCTGTCTTTATGTTTTTCTTGTAGCTGGATTCTTGGTATGTTATTTTAAATGGCACTGTTGAAATTAGCCATCCAGATGGGAAAACAGAAAGTCTCTGTATGGGGAATAGCTTTGGGATTACTCCCTCTCTGGAAAAACAGTACATGAATGGTGTGGTTCGGACCAAAGTAGATGATTGCCAGGTAAGTTAACTTAGTAACAAAATATTGTGTGATTTTGAATATTGTCATGAAATAATCTATTTCACATTTAGTTATTCCTAATGGAACACCTTACTTGTTAGTGAACTATTAACTATTAATAACCCTTTGCTCACATCTGCTTAATAGGGAGAAAAAACTGTGTATAGCATTTTGTTCATTTTTATAATGGGGTGATAGCTAGGATCTTCTGAAATGAAATCAGCATAGAAAATAAGAAAACAAGGTTTTGAGCTCAAAATGCAGTTTAAATGTTGTTTAATATGACAGTAGCCTTATGTGCAATATTTTGCTACTATTGTATTACATAAGTCCAGGCTTAGCTAGTGGACTTAAAAATATTATTTCTTGTTTGTTAATTGTTTGTTACTTTGGAATAGTTTGTGTGTATAGCTCAGCAGGACTATTGGCGAATTCTGAACCATGTAGAAAAAAATACACACAAAGTTGAAGAAGAAGGAGAAATTGTCATGGTGAAGGAGCACAGAGAGCTGGACCGCAGTGGAACTAGGAAAGGACACATTGTTATTAAGGTGATTTGAAACAAAACCTTGTGAAAGATTTATCCATCATTTCATGTGTATATTTGTTCAATATTCATGACTTTTAGCATAAAGAATATATTCATATAACTCAAATGATTATATGTTATAGAAGGATGCCTCTTTGGGAATTAGGAAGAATACGGTATTTTATTTTTTAGAAAATTGATCTCTTATGTTCTGTTGCATGAATACCCAGAAGATATTTTGAAAATAAATATTTGTCTCAAGTAGAATTTAGAAATTGAGTTTACGTATTCTGTTTGTTATGTATATTGTCTAATATTGTGAACTGATGTCTTATGAAAAATGGTATGCTTTTGCTCATTTCTATTTCTTTTTTAAGGCTATACCAGAACGCCTCATTATGCATTTAATCGAGGAACACTCTATTGTGGATCCTACATACATTGAAGACTTCCTCTTAACATACAGAACATTTTTGTCAAGCCCCCTGGAAGTTGGGGACAAGCTTCTGGAGTGGTTTCAAGTAGACAGCCTTAGGGACAAGGTTGGTTCTGATATAAAAAATTAACAGTTAATGGTTTTGTCCATGAAGTTCATCTGCACTTCCTGATATATAGTACTAGTAACAATACTATGAAACAATAGCTCACTGAATAAAATCTGTAATAACAATAAATTATATTCATTTTTATTCATAGTTCTTGAGGATAAGCAGTATCTTAAATGAAAGTAAACTTTTTTGCCACCCTCCTTTATTTTTTGCATAGATGCTTGATCCTGGCTACATTTCATTATGGAAGACCCTGAAATAGAATAGAATGCTAATTTATTAACACAATTTGTTGAGCTAACGAATAACCTGTCATTCTTTATATACTTAGATGGATTTTTCTTTTCTTTCTTTTTTTTTAATACAAAACATTTATCACAACACAATTGCATTATTATATTGTCTATTCCCAGATCTATATTCACCTCACCCCTGCCCCCATCGTTCATATAGCTTTCTAAAAATACAACTCTATCATTTCTATTACTTCTAGCTATTATAATTTCATCTATTACATATTATTGTTATGATATGCTTTTCTAATTATTCATCCACAATTTTTCTTAGTTGTTCAGGTATTTAAACTTGCAATTACTTTTACACATGAAGCTAACAGATAGCTTCCATGTATTTTCAAATAGATTTTCTTTTATTTCTCTTTTTGCTAATCTTAATTTATTAGGGCTGGGCAACCACGGAAAAATTTGTTTCTAAACTCGATTCGTTTTTAGGGGGTTTTTACGTTTCGATTTTTAAATTAATTCCGAAATTTTCCTTAAAATTTTTTCGATATTTGCAAAATTTCGTAAATTACGAATCAATTACGAATCGATTTTGAAACAATTACGAATTGATTCGTTAATGGCGGGCGCGATTGCGCAATACACTAAAAAAACCTCCAAATGGGACAGGAAGCTTCCCTCTCCCTCTGTTGTTGACTGTTGGTGTGATAATTTATTTATTTTTCACTGAGAAAACAAACAACGACTATAAAACTTGCACCAGACATGCGGAAATAATAACGAAACGATTTCGAATCAATTACGAATCGATTTCAAAACAAATACGAATCAATTACGAAACGAATTAAAAAAAATCGTTTCGTTTTTTAGTTGCTCCTGAATGGTTCAATATCGTCAATATAAATAAAATTAACCGGAAAGAACTTACCCCCCACAAAGCTAAATGCCTATACAGAGCCAGTGTAAAAAGAACACCCTTCCCTGTCCCTTGCTCCTGCACGAGGGAAGAGGGGGAAAAAAACAACTGCTGAGAGAGAGAGAGGTGGCATGAGAAAGGGTGCCTGGTCTATCCCTTTGGCTACCCCTGCCTCTCTTCCCAAAGGATTCAGAGAGAGAGACAGGGAGGGAAGGAGGGACAGAGGGGGGGGGGGAGAGAGAGAGAGATCTCATTTCCTTTCCTTCTTGCCTGTCGCTGGGCTGCTGGGAACTCACACAAGAGGGATTTCCCAGAATTCCTTCCCATACTGAGATATGGGAAGGAATTCTGGGAAATGAAGTCCAGTATTCAAAGAAAGGACAAAACCCCATGCTCTGTGAGTTCAGAAAGTCTGTCCAGGAAGGCAGAATCAAAACACTCCCAAAAGATGGCCATCCATTTTTACTTTATAACAACCCTGGGCTATATCTACAATAATAATAGCTATATATCTATCATAATAATATCTATCAATCTATAATAATATATATGTCTATGATATCTATATGTCTTTAACAATAATATCTACATTTCTATTATAATATCTATATGTCTGTAATAATGTCTATATGCCTATAATAATATCTATAGGTCTATAATAATATCCATATGTCTATAATTGTAATATCTGTCTGTCAAAAATATCTGTACATTTATAACAATAATACCTATATGCCTATAATATCTATGTCTATAATAATAATAATAATATCTATATATAGAATAATAATATGTATACATCTATAATAATAATAATAGCTATATAATATCTATAAAATAACAATAAAAATAATAACATCTATATGTGTATAATAATATATATAGGTCTGTAATAATATCCATACATCTGTTGCCTGTTTTTGCTCGAAATATCTTGAGCCCTGTGCTTCTTCTATTTTTTATCAATTTTATACTAATTTATGCAATGCTTTTGATATGAAATTCATAAATAACATCTATAATACTAATACCTATATAGCTTTAATAATAATATTTGTATCTATAATAATAATATCTATATGCCTATAATAATATCTATATGTCTATAATGACAACAATACCTATATAATAACTTTGAACTGGGAGTGTGGACTCAGGTAACCCAGGGCCCTTCCACACATCCATACAACCCTTTGGCCTTGAGGAGACTGAAATGGGCCTATATTAGGTTGACACTTTGCCACTTTAGTTGTGTATTGATAGCTTAGAAACCAGCTCTTCCTCTTTTCTTTCTTTCCCATTTCTCCACAATGGGCCACAGCAACGCGTGGCTGGGTACAGCTAATATGTATGTATGTATGTATGGACTTTGGTGGTATAGGAAAGGGTTAACATCCCTGTGGTGTTTGATTTGCTACCTGTGCCTGTTCAGAAGATTTCACCTCACTTTCTCTCCCTGTGATAATTGGTGATAAAGCTTCAGTGGAGACACCTTTTCTCCATGATAACTCTCAGTAGTGAGTTCCCCTTTCTAAGTGCAGATTACTCTCACTTCCTGTTGTCTCAGCCCCGTTGTTAACTATTGAGTTGTTTGTAAGTCGGATGCTTGTAACTCGGGAACTGCCTGTATTTCTAATATTGCAGCACATAGCATGAGGAACATAAGATTTTTAATTACCAAATCCTTATTCTTTTCAATACAGAAATATTTAGTAGCGTTCTCCTAAAATGTATTGTTTTCCCTGCTATTTGGCTTATTCATGATAGAACGTCATTCCAGAATCCTTATAGTTTGGTGCATGTTAGCCCCACTTTCTCCAACATATGTTAGGGATTCGATTATTAATTCTATGTAGTTTAAGTGGATAATAGTATAAACTATGTATAATTTTCAAAATATTTTCTCTCAGTTGTTCTGAAATTGATTTATACAATTAAGTCCAATGGTTTCTCTTCTATTTTAAATCCTGAATCTGATTACTTACATCTAATCTCAATCAATTTGATGTTCAAAATTTTACTTCCTGAATTATCCTACATAGTTTTGAAACCTTTTTCTGAAATGTATTTATTTGGATCAATTAGCACTAGGATAGATTAAGTGGTTTTAATTTATTTTTATTGTCCCACTTGAATAGATTTTACTGATAAAAAGAAAACATCAATTGTTTAAATCCCTTTATCTTCCCACCACTTAAATTGACTATATTTGTCTTCACATTTTAAAAAATGGTGTTCTAAAAATGAACAGAGGGGTGATGGAGATGGAGCAAGAACTTTCTTATATTGGGACCATATACCAGTGGTGGCAAATCTATGGCACACATGCCCTCTCTCTGGCCCCTTGCTCACGCACCCATCCTACCCCTTGTTTGCTTGCTTGGTCACCTGTTTGCCCGCTTCCTTGCTTGCATGCATTCCCCCATTCCCTGCTTGCCCACTCACTTGCTCTCCCACTTGCTCTCCCCCCTGCTTGCCCCCTCACTCGCCACCTTCTCTCATCAACCCCCACTCACCCCCCCCCTCGGTTCCCCAAATTATCCTCCCTGCTCCCCCCCCCCGGTTTGGGCACTCCATTTCTAAAAGGTTCAACATCACTGCCATATACCAATCAAGTCCTCAATAAAAGGGTTGTCTAACTTTTCTTTAATTTATCTACAAACATACTAACCATAATATCTTTTAGTATTGTGTTTCAATGTGTACCCATGTTATAGAGTTATCATTCTTAATGAATTTCCCTAGTTGAACTTGTTCAAATGCATCATAATATAGTTCCAAATTTGGTATCACCAGACCTGCTCGTAAAGAGTGAGCATATTTAAAATGGTTGACGAAACTTTTTTTTCCCACAGCAAAATTCCCAATATATTTTTGCCTATATATTTTTGCCCAATATATTTTACCTTATGTATCTTAGTGATATTTTATTGAATAAAAATATTTTTAGGAAGAATATGTATTTTAACAGCTGCTATTTGCTCAATAATGATAGTTGTAATTTAGTCCATTCCTTTTTTTGTATGTATATTACATTATTTTATCATTTCTATAGATAAGGTGAGATCATTTTTTTGTTGACAGGATTCCTAAATATTTAAATTAAAAAAAACTGATTGAAAAATTTGATATACTTTTCAACTGTAAATGTTCTTCCTTAATCATAGTTAAGTTCAGCATTTTTGATTTCTTGTCATATATTTTGAGGCCTGTATAAATTTTGAATTTGTTTAAAACATTTGTCACTTGCCCTATGCATTTTAGTGGGTTAGTTAAAAATAACAAAATATAATACTCAAATACATTCACTTTGTGGTCTGTCTTACTCAGATAAAAAAACCCTAACTTACTACAAATAAATTAAAGTTACACATATTTCCAGTGTGCTTCAAAAATGACTCCGCGTGGTTAGATATTTGGCTATTTTTTCAATGTTTACCATCTTGCCCTTTCAACTATGATGTATATGTATGTATAGCTTTTTTGACCAGCAGAATGAGAAACTAAAAAGTGTTTCAGTTTCTTTAAGTAATTTCTTTTCCTCCCCAAATGTAATACTGGTTGTCTTAAGGCCAAAGGATGGGAAGTGTGTGTGTGTCACATGTCTACATTAAAAACCTCATAGCTTGCATTATACCTATAAGAGCAAAAGTTATATGTTAATATATAATACATTTATAAAGATATTGCAGCATATAATAGTGAGTCATATTTTATTCTGTGTGACTATGTAATTTTAATTAATATCACTGTTTAATTGTTATGTAATGAATTTTATATTGCTGTTTTATATTGTTGTTTTGATACTGTTGGTATTGAATTGTTGCCTGTGTTAGCCGCCCAGAGTCCCCCCTCGGGGGTGAGAAGGGCGGGGTAGAAATAGTCTAAATAAAATAATAATAATAATAATAATAATAATAATAATAATACTATCGGTCCAGGTCATGCTATGCTAACCCAGATGGCTATTATGTTTGTGAGGGACAGGGGATAGTTCTTTTGTTCTTGATTAATATAAATCTCATAGAAATAGACATTTTAAAATGACTAATGTTTCATAGTGACAGCAGCTTTGAAACATCAAATTTAGACAAGTTCTGTGAATAAGGTGGGGAATTACTTCACGTGTTGGGTTGTAGACCTTTACTATTTATTTATTTACAGTATTTATATACCACTTTTCTCACCTCTGGGGGGTGGGGGCACTCAAATGGGTTTACACAAAAATAACTACAAAATTCAAAGCCTTATATACATAAACCAAAACTCAAATCAACAACATATAACTAGGCATAAAATCAATAGGTAAATTCATCATAAGATAAGATGAAAGGACATTTAAAACATGAAATATAAGAATTAAAACACCTAATAAGAGCATTAAAATCACATTATCGAACTCGTAGACTGGGCTATTCCAAATGCCGATTGCACATATTCCATATTTGTTTCTTGTACTCTTTTTAATAATAAGTAGTTTTTGTTTTAAAAAGCATTGGCAGCATTACTGTTTTAGCACAAAACTTTATTATGGACTTCAAATCAATGCTACACTATGCTATGTATTTTGGTTTTGTTTTCTTTTAGAAATTCTTATATTTTCTTCATATGCAATCTTGTTTATAGGTTACTCGAGTTGTGCTATTGTGGGTAAACAATCATTTTAACGATTTTGAAGGAGATCATGCCATGACACGATTTTTGGAAGAATTCGAAAGAAACTTGGAAAATGCAGTAAGATCCAATTAATTTACAGTTTGAGTTTTTATCCTTTAAAAGAAACCTCTGTAAAAACAACTATAACATATTTCAGTTTCTTTGCATATTACTTAGAAGTTTATATAAGCTAAAGATATAATGTTGCTTATGGCATAGATCTTTTCTTCATTCTATTTTTCCAAATAATTTTATTAAATATTTATTATATTTTGTAATGTATATTATTGGTGTACAATTTTAAAATACAATTTTACAATCAAAAAACATTAATGTAAAAAACATTTACTAGAAAAGTAGGGGATGGGGGACAAGGGAAGGAAAAGGAGAAATTTGGGGATAATAGAGAAATTATTGGTTAGTTGCATCTTTACAAATGTCTGGTATGTAACGAGGAGAAAACCAAAAGGCTGAAGGTTGTGGAGGAATTAGGAGTAATTTTGCAGTATTGTCATTGCTACAACAAATCTTCATCTCTATTTCTTTAACACATATATTATATAGCTGATTCTAACAATTTTAATTTTAAGTCAGTTGGTTGTATCTTCTTCTGTCTTCTCACATTGTCTCCTGGTCTTCATATATTATTTTCCAGTTCTTCTTCAATGGAACTTAAACTGAATTTTTCATAGTAGAATATTTCATATTAAAACTTTTCTTAAATTATTTATTATTAATATCCGCAAAGAAAATTCTATAAATTTTATTTAGATTGTTATTAGGTTACAACAACAAAACTTTATTATGGTCACTGACCAGCACAAGTGTTAGTAGTTTAGTGTTTTATCATTTTATCATTATCATGCTGTCTCTCTTTTTGTATTTACATCAGATATATTTTCCATCTATAACTCTAGGGGTTGAAAGCTCTTCTGACTTAACCATAATCTCTCAATATGATAATATTCTTATAATCCATTTTAAGAACTTTCCCTGATAGCTCCTGAAGGCCCAACCTCTCAAACTTCTCTTTCTCAAGGTTTTGTTCCCACTAGCCCATCTAGCCTTCTTTTATACCAATATGTTTCGCTCTCACTCTCTTTCTGTATGTGCATCTTTTCTTCTTTCTAGAGGGGGTATATTAATGTCTTTGTCTAACACTTTTGCAGAAAATGAAGGGGCACCTGAGGTTACTAAACATTGCCTGTGCAGCAAAAGCTAAGTGGAGGCAAATCACATTGCAGAAGCCTTCTCGAGATTCCCCACTTTATTTTGGCCTTCTTGGAGGAAGTGAAAAAGGGTTTGGTATTTTTGTAGAGACAGTAGAATCGGGAAGCAAGGCTGCAGAAGCTGGACTTAAACGTGGAGACCAGGTAAAGTAAAATGTTTCATAGTTTTGACCTTATTTTTTTTAATCTTCTTTTCTTACAAGAAATGCCTTCAGTTGAAGAAGACCAAACTATTCCATTCAAAGTAGTTCTGTTTGTTGATTAAACCATAGTTTGCTATAGCATCCAGACAACATTAACCACTAACCACAGTTTGTGTACAGACCATGATGAGATCCTTAATGTCGGGTTCTAGTTTGGAGTCAAAATCAAAACTTATCTGGGTAGCTTTGGGATGTTGAATCTATATTTGCTTTAGTAATAACACACATGACAATTTTCAATGGAAATTATTAAAGCCTATGGGAGCTGTGGTGGAGCAATGGGTTAGAACCTTGTGCCAGCTGAACTGCTGACCTGAAGGTTGGCAGTTCGAATCCGCGAGACAGGGTAAGCTCCTGTCTGTCAGCTCCAGCTTCCCATGTGGGGACATGAGAGAAGCCTCCCACAGGATGGTAACACATCTGGGCGTCTCCTGGGTTATCTGCAGTTTCTCAAGTCACTTCTAACATGATAAAAAAATAGAGCCTATGACATGTAATGTGCTTACAATTTCCAAAAGCATTCTTTCATCATGATATTTAAAATGGATCTGAGCTTGAGACAGAATTTTTAAATTAGTATTATTAACCTATAAATTATTTAGTGGCAATTCAGGATATTAACATACACATTGCGAAAAAGCTGGGCCTTCCCAGGAATTGTTATTGTCAACTGAAGAGCCTTGTAAGTGAAAGATGAACATGTAAATGACATGAAAAAGTGGAAAATAAATGAATCGTGCAAAGTTTAAAAGTATCAGATTTGTTGAAGGCTTTCATGACCTGAATCACTGGGTTGTTGTAGGCTTTTCAGGCTGTATGGCCATGTTCTAGAAGCATTCTCCCCTGATGTTTCACCTGCATCCGTGGCAAGCATCTTCAGAAGCAACCTCACAACCTCTGAGGATGCTTGCCACAGATGCAGGCGAAAGGTCAGGAGAGAAGGCTTCTAGAACACGGCCGTACAGCCTGACAAACCTACAACAACCCAGTATCAAATTTATAACCTGTATTTGGAAAACATATTTTAAAAAATTTGTGTAAAACAGAACTAAATTTTAAAATATTTGCATTAAGATTGCATTTTAGTCATGCTATAATTTTTATGTATAGCTTTAGACATCTTTTCCTATTTTTCTAGGTAATGGAAGTAAATGGGCAAAATTTTGAGAATATTACATTTACAAAAGCCACTGAAATCTTGAGGAACAATACTCATCTTTCCATCACTGTAAAAACAAATATTTTTGGTGAGTAATGCTGTATAAATAATATTTTTAGATATTAACCAGAGTACAAAGCTATTGTAACCCAGAGCAGGAAACTGGACCCTAAGACAACAATCCACCACACTTGACTTCAGGAAAAACAATGCTTTTTATTGATGAAAGATGAGTACAAAAATAGAGGAAAATATGCAAGGTAAAAAGCCACAGTAAAAATCAGCAACAAGAAATGTCCATGAACAAGATCAAAAACCCACAGTAACACTGCTAAATCCTGGAACCTGTTAGCAATCCACTAACAGTACTTGAAGCACTAGAAAAACTCCTTGGAACAAAGCCACTGGAAGCAGGAGAACTGCAAGAGTCTGCACATGAATCTGAAGCAGGAGCAGGAGAACTGCAAGAGTCTGCACATGAATCTGAAACGATGCCTGGTCTGAAGATGCATCCAGGCGGGAGGCACTTAAAGCCGAGAAATCTATTATGTGACACGCCTGAAGGCTTTGAAGTCCTTGTTTGCATTTCTCTCAATCTAGCTGACCTTCGTAAACCTTGCGATTCTCCCCTGCTCTACCAAATCTGCCCTCTCCTATCCTCATTAGAGAGCCCAGGTGTCAGATTCTCTGAAGAGCCAAAAGGGAGTGAAAGTTCACCACTTGGCTCTGAAATATTCTCATGGGAATTTGGACTTTCGCTTTCCAAGGCTGCAGGAGTTTCTTCTACATTGACCTCAGAATCAACATCCTCATTAGCATCAGGAAATAGATTAGCATCAGGAAATACAATCAGAGAATCAGGTTCAGGTTCAGGTTCACACACAGGCTGAACCCCAACAAAAGGAATGCTTAAAGAACAAATGGCTGTCTGTGACCATGGGTTCAGTAGCCACAGATAAGCCATCCATGTTTTTTTTTTACTCAATGCTTGAGTTTCCCATTTTATATAGGGACACCATTTTACTTTGCCATTGTATAATGGGACTTGAGTATCCAATCCTCATGTTTGGTATCCACAGAGGATCCTGGAACCAAACCCCAGAGGATACCAAAGGCCCATTGTACATGTAAAGACTTTACTGTGCACTGAAGAACACGAACAGGAAGAGTGCCAACTCACTTAAAATGTAGTGCTGGAGGAAAGTGCTGCAAATGCCCAAACTGCCAAAATGATTCATAAATGCACCTGAAAACATATAATGCCTGGATTCTTACTAGAAGCCTGAATAGTCAAACTGAGACTATTGTACTTCAGGCATATAATGAGATGACAGGATTAAGTTGGAAAAATGCCAGGCGCATTTGTGCTGTTGATGGGAGCAAGAGCAGGGCCTCCCCGAATGATCTTAGGTTTCGAGGTGGGACATAGGAGTGGATGCATTCGGACAAGTAAGCTGGGTCAGAACCGTGTAGAGTTTTATAGGTCAAAACCAGCACTTTGAATTGGGCTCGGAGGTGGACCAGCAGCCAGTGGAGCTGGCATAACAGGGGGGTGGTATGCTCCCTGTATGTCACCCCAGTTAGTAATCTGGCTGCCGCCCATTGAACTAACGGAAGTTTCTGAACCGTCCTCAAAGGCAGCCCCACGTAGGACGCGTTGCAGTAATCTACTCGGGATGTAACAAGAGCGTGGACCACCCTGGCCAGATCAGACTTTACAAGGTATGGGCGCAGCTGGTGCACAAGTTTTAACTGTGCAAAAGCTCCCCTGGCCACCGCCGAAACCTGGGGTTCCAGGCTCAGCAATGAGTCCAGGATCACTCCCAAGCTGTGAACCTGCGTCTTCAGGGGGAGTGTAACCCCATCCAACATAGGCTGTAACCCTATGCCCTGTTCGGGCTTTCAACTGACCAGGAGGACCTCTGTCTTGTCTGGATTCAATTTCAATTTGCTAGCCCTCATCCAGTCTGACACAGCAGCCAAGCACCGGTTCAGGGTCTGAACAGCCTCATTAGTGACAGGTGGGAAAGAGTGACAGATTTGGACATCATCTGCATACAGATAACACCTTACTCCGAAACTCCGGATGATCTCCCCCAGCGGCTTCATGTAGATGTTAAATAACATCGGGGCTAGCACCACGATTCCTTTTCTTCCGCAATGTTAGCAGCAGCAAGGGATTTCTCTTAGATAAGTTTCCCTATTAAGTGTTGATTCCCCTGACTACTGCAGTTTCTTTTCGTATTTACCTTCGATTTGTTTGACTTTTTTTCTATTACTCCTACTTGGTGGTTTTTCCTGTATTTGACTCGGACTGCTTTGACTATTTCTTTAACTGCCCTTCCAGTACTTTTCAGTATTGACTTAAGGCTGGATTGACTGCCATTGTGAGTACACTGAGTTTGGGACTTACTTCTTCCCTGTACTTCTCTTACTCCCCTGTTTTCTATCATGGTATCTGCCTTTTTAAAGCAAGGTGTAGTGAAGGAACACTTTCAGGCACTGATGGTCATGGTCACTTTATGTGTCTGCTCTGCTTGGAGGAGGCTCTAGTGGTGAAGATGTTGTCAAACTTTCAGCCCCAAGCATGGAAGAAGCAAGAAGCATACCTTAGAATGTTCCTTAGTGAGCAGACATTTATGGCCTTTCCATCCTGGCTAAGGAAATTGGCCATGTTGGAGTCGCCAAAGAAACCATGCCCATCCCCCTTCGCATCAAGGGGCCTTATGCAGTGCCAAAAGCCCTCAAAATGGAGTGAAAGGGCTCAAGGAGACAAAAAAAACACACTATGTAGGTTTGAAAACGTAGTGTTCCTTTACTACCAATATAGAAATTCACAAACGGAAACAGGAGTACAATTGCTCATTTTCAGATATAGCAAAGTATCTGCTCTCAGTCTGAGTGACAAGTCATCCACTTTATATAATTTACAGTACTAAAATAGGTTATTTTGTAATAGACAAGAATAGCCCCAGCGGCAATAAGCCCCAGCTATGCCTGCCATGCCCTTGTCTGTTGGCATCAACGCTGCTGTACTTGGCTCTCAGGTGTTGCTTCCCTTACAGCACACCTCTACAAGCACTTCGTGTGCAATGCCCCCTCTCTCTACTATGGAGAGGTAAGAGCATTACTATATGAGCAGCCCCCAGCCGGGGGTTCTACTGCCTTCAGTGGAGAGATGCCATTGGCACTACCCCATCCAAGGCGCTTCGGAGCAGCGGTACTGGGACGAATCCTGCTCAGGGAGTTATCCTTACCTGAATCATAGCTGGCATCACTCTTACGTCTACAACTGAAGACATTCCCGTCCTTCTCACAGAAGGCTGGTGTTGACCTTCTCAAACACCTATGCATGTAGTCATAGATTTTTGATCTCACAGTCAGAACAAAGACTCTCCTTTTCCTCCTTGAAATGTTATCTAGCTGCCATCTCTTGGTACAGATGGAAAGCAGGGCATTTGTCTATTTTCGGGACCCCCTCATTCAACTTTTCCTGAAGAGTTTAAGGCCATTCACCAACCAGCACATCCTCCAAGCCCAGCTCATCTTGTCACAATTATCAAAACCCCATTTTGAGCCCATGGCATTGGCAAAGTTTTCCCACCTTTTCCGGAAAACTGCATTTCTTGTCCCTGTCACATCAGCACAATGAGCCAGTGAGCTTTGTGCTCTCTGTGCAGATCACCTTTAACTTTGTTTCCATAGAATAAGGTGGTTCTCTAAACCAACATTGCCCTTCTGGCCAGAGGAATCCTATTCCTGTGAAGCACTCCCTCCGTACTTTGGATGTGCGGGGGTGGGGTAGGGGTTGGGGTGGGAGCGGGAGCGGGGTCTAGCCCTTACATCGACCACACACCTGCCTAAAGGAAATCTCCTTGAGGTTTTTCTCTGAGATATCGCTAGGATACTTTGGACAATTCATTCTCTTCACAACATTTTTCCTCTTTGATCATTTCCACTATCCGGCTGGCCTGCCAACTCAGACAGACTCCTTCCATCCCAAATCTTGGGTCATTCAGCAACAGCTGTTGCTACCTTTTAGGACTTCCTATATGGAGTACCTCGAAGATGTTTCACCTTGCAGCAATGTGGTCGACCCCACTCACTTTGCAAGTGGGATGATCTCTCCAGGAGTGTTGCTGCATTGGCAGAGCTGTCCTTGTTTCCTGTTTCCTGTGGGGCATGACTCCCACTTCCAAGGTGGGAAACTTGCTAGTCACCCCTAAGTGTGATTTCACAGAATCCAGAAAGAAGGTTTAGTTGCTTACTTGTAACCATGTTTCTTTGAGTGGTCACTTGTACTTTTACTATTATCCTAACTTTATGAGTTGTACATTTTGAGAAGTAAAAATATAACACAACCAGATAGCGCTAACTTGTTGTTTGCTAGGTTCAATAAGCATTGTACGGTGTTGATGAAGTTTTAAAAGTTTGACATTTCTTTTTACAGTGTTCAAGGAGTTGCTTAATAGGATAGGTCAAGAGAAAAATGGCATTCCACATATTCCCAAAATAGCAGAAAAGAAGAATAATCGTTATTCCATCCCTGATATTCCTGGAGATGTGGAACAGATGTTTCCACGTGAGAAAGGAAACAAGAAAATCAAAGCAAATACTGTGTCTGGTGGAAGAAATAGAATCAAGAAAATTTTAGACAAGACTCGGTTTAGTATCTTGCCTCCAAAACTGTTCAGGTATGTTGAAACAGTAATATACCATGTTATATTAGTTGAGATTTTTATTTCACTTGGATACATTTCATTTTTGTTAAAAAAACTCTGGGATATTAATTTTTATCCCAATCCTTTCATGTTTTTATATGGTTTCTCCAGTTGTTAAATCAAAGATATGTTTGTTATTCCCTTCATGCTTCATTGTTACTAAGATTAGCAGTTCTCATACTGGTTAAGTCATATGTGTTGTCACTAGCAAGCCAGTGTGGCATTTCTTGTTTTGTTTGTTAAATGGAATTTCTGGCCTTCAAATTTTCTAGTAAAAAGCAAGTTATTTCCTTCATACTTGCAGTCTGTTTTATCTTTCCACCTATGCCACTCCACAGAATACAGAAGAGATACTGCTTGATTAGGGTAGGCTTGAGCAGAATTTCAAAAACCCTTTTTTAGCCTTTTCGATAATTTCTTTGGACTCGTAGTTTTTGGAAAAGGTTACTTTTCCAAACTGTTTTTGGTGGATGGTTTGTAATCCAAAGTTCCACAAGTAATATGCTTTCAGTTAACAACTATCTCAATTATTTTTTTTAGGAGCCACGGTGGCTCAGTGGGTTAAACCTTTGTGCCAACTGGACTGTTGACCTGAAGGTCGGCGGTTCGAATCCGCATGATGGGGCGAGCTCCCATCTGTAAGTTCCAGCTTCCCATGCGGGGACATGAGAGAAACCTCCCACAGGATGATAAAACATCCGGGCATCCCCTTGCAATTTCTCAAGCCTCTTCGGACATGAAAAAAAATTAGCATTTATCCATATGTTTTACTTTTGAGTCTTTTCTAAATGATTTAGAGCAGGGGTCCTCAAACTAAGGCCCGAGGGCAGGATATGGCCCTCCAAGCTCATTTACTCAGCCCTCGCTCAGGGTCAACCTAAGTCTGAAACGACTTGAAAGCACACAACAACAACAATCCTATCGCATCAGCCAAAAGCAGGCCCACACTTCCCATTGAAATACTAATAAATTTGTATTTGTTAAAAATGTTCTTCATTTTAATTATTGTATTGTTTTTAAGTATTTTTGCACTACAAATAAGATATGTACAGTGTGCATAGGAATTCATTCATGTTTTTTCCAATTATAATCTGGTCCTCCAACAGTTTGAGGGACTGTGACCTGGCCCTCTGTTTAAAAAGTTTGAGGACCCCTGATTTAGAGGTTTTCTGTATTTTTCTTTCCTTTATTGAAAACTTTTCTTTTAGATTTCCAATTCCATATCATAGGTCTTTTGTTGTTTTATTGGAGCCTAGCTATTCATTAGATAGGTGTAAAATAAGAATATCACAACTGTTGTTTGGTTTTCCATACCTTCTATGTGGAACTGGTCACTAATTTTGCTTTACATGTGTAGAATAAATTTATTCATGTGTAATTTAAAATTTCCATTTGAACATTTGGATGTCATGTATGCCAATCAATCCCTGTTCCAAGCACTTGTACAAAAGTGCAACATGGAGGGCTTTGTGGACTGTCACCATGACTTATTGCAATTTCCTCTTATGCTGAATCCTCATCATACAGTTGCAAGAGTAAAGGCCTTTCCTTGCAAATTTTCTCATGGGGATGGGGAAGAGAGAGGATGACTGCATGGAATTCATAATGGCTGGGGTAGGGATACTCAGTGCAACCCTGTTTCCCACCCATGTACCTAAGTGAATACTTTAAGTTATGCTTACAGTTCTATTGTATTTTATCTAAGTACAAGTAATTGTTAAAACTCTCTTACAGTGATGGCAGTGTAAGCCAGTCACAGGATGATAGTATTGTGGGCACAAGACAATGCAGACACAGTTTGGCAATTATGCCTATTCCTGGCACTCTCTCCTCCAGCAGTCCCGATCTATTGCAGCCTACAACCAGCATGCTGGATTTTTCTAATCCTTCAGGTAAACTGTCTTTCCTTATGTATCTTATAAAATCTCATATGTTACTGGAAGATAACAGATTTTAGTGGCTACGTTTTCCAGAATACATTTGTATACAGTATAGCAACTGCATATCTGACTGACTGATTATGCAACAGGTCTGGTTTCGTTGTTACGATCTTTGACTTGGGTGTTTACCTAAATATATAGGCACACCAACACTATTTCATTTCTTTTAATGTTAACTCTTTCCTGCTCAAAGTGTCCAGTAAGCCTTATGTCCATAGGGACTACCGAATTTAGAATTGTGGCCAGTGGGACAAGGGAACCCATTTAGAATTATGTCTTGGCAGCTTCTATGTTCTTTGGCATATAGAGTTTGTAAAGTGTGAAGGAAACTGAACACAATGTACTGTGTGCCCCAATCACTGTAATATATTTAATGATACAGGATGCCTTCTGTTCCAATTAAGTATATTATGTCTGAGGTGCCTTTACAGCATAGGAAGATTTTTTTTCCTAACAGAAACATGTCCTGCTGAAGGCGCTGTTGAATATACCTTTTATAATTGTTTGTTTACAACTAGACAGGATTCTTTGCTATCATGATTGCTGTAGAGACTTCTCCTAATTCAACTCCTCTGGGGGGCTATAGCACTGAAATAATCAAACTTCCATCCCCATTTTTAATTCACTCTTGCATAACCATTTATTCCTGATTCACTCTTACTTCTAATCTGAACATGTCCTCCTCTTTTTAAAAAAAACAAAAACAAAAAAACGTACCTTATTAGTAGTAAGGTATTTTAAACACACCCGTCTTGCAACAAAACTACAACAGGATCAGACCTCTTTAAAAAAACAACAAAAAAACTCTATTGTTATTTTGTATTTACATTTTAGTTGAAATATAGATTCTAACACAACCCTGTAAGTTTGTAGCATCTTCTGTTTACTCTTTAAGTTTATTTGCTATTTAAAATAATTATAGATACTATTCAGTTTCCTATCTGGTTGCATTTTTTAAGCAGGAATGGAATTATTTTTTTCTCAGATATGCAAATACATAGCTTTTAACTCATAGTGTCAGTGTCTATATCTTGACATTTTCCTCCTTCTTCCTCCTGCAGCAGTTGGTTTTTACTGTAAGTATCCCAATCAATGACAATCTGATAATCTTTAACGTATTTTATTTCTAAAAAATATTGGCTATTCATTTTTTTAAAAAAAATGTTTCAGTGTAAACATTTCAGTAGTCATAACTATGAAACTGATTTTGCAGAATTATAGCCAAACTAGTATAATTCTACAGTCTGATTTCAGGATATATGCATCAGGCTATATAACGATTATTTGTTTGCTCTGCATGTATTAGGTTGCATGTAACTTATTGCTTCTCCAAGTTTTGAGGGTTATTGATGTAGTGTCATAGATATACAGATTGAGTATCCCTTATAAAAATGTTTGGAACCAGAAATGTTTTGGATTTACAATTTTTTTCTTCTTCAGATTTTGGAATGCTCATATTTACATGCATGTACATAATCTTGGAGATGGGACCCAAGTTGAAACATGAAATTAATTTGTTTCTTTTGTGCTTTATGGACACCGTCTGAAGATATTTCTATTCATTTTTAAAATAATGTTGTGCATGGAACAAAGTTTGTATGCATTGAACCATTCAAAAGAAAGGTGTCACTATCTCAGCCATGTGAATAATTTTGGATTTGAGACTTCTCAATTTTAGAATTCCAGATAAGCGATGCTCAACCTATAATGAGATTTTCTTTAAAAATATTTGTCATCTTAGTTACATTGGTTTTTTAAAAATGCATTTTTAAGAAATCTTTTTGGGAACAAAAGGTGATTCAGCTGAATACCAAAGTCTATAAAAGAAACAATGCTTAGTAGTGACTTGCTGCCTGTTAAAGGAGGCAGTTTTGAGGAATTTGTGGAAAAAGTTACTCCTGAATCTCTTTATAATGGATAAACTTGGCCATTGTCAACCATGGTCTCCTGAGCCACCTTGCAGGGATGGGGCTAGGTGGCATTGTTTTAAAATGACTTAGTTCCTTTCTGGAGAAGCAATCCCAGAAGGTGGTTTTCAGGGACTTCTGTTTGGTACATGATTGTTCAACTGATTCTATCCTCAAACTGCAAGAACTTGGGAGGACATCTCCCAAGGATTTCATGTATATGTTAAATAGAATGGGAGCAAAACAAAATCCTGGGGAAACCTCGCAGGTCAATGGCCAGAAAACTGAACAGGAGTCCCTGAAGACCAGCTTCTGGGATTGCCTCTTCAGGAAGGAACTAAATCATTTTTATACAATGCCTCCAAGCCCCACCCCTTCAAGCTGGCCCAGAAGGAGACCATGGTTTATGAGATCAAAAACTTCTAGGAGATACCATAGAACCAACATTGATGTTCTCCCCTGTCTGAATCCCAATGCAGCCAAAATGTCTCTGTCAGATAGTTGGCCCTGAAACCAAATTTATGTTGATCTAGTTAATATATTTCATGCAGAAACATCACACACTCCAATATCTTGCCCAAAACTATTAGGCTGGAGAGAAGCTTTATTTAATAAAAGAAGATATAAATCTAATGCAGTAGTTTCTAGCCTCCATAAGTTAGACTATGACCGCCATTATGCCTGGCATTTGCTTTGGCTCGTAGTTCAACATATGGAACCCAAAATGGATAGATGGAATCAGATCAGAGTTTCTTTTATGCAGAGAAGGAGGGGGGAGGAGAAATTTTAAACTATCCTGATAGTCTTGACACTGTTTCAGAAAGTATCCCAATCTTCTGCTATATTTTTGATGTAGAAAAGAAAAAAAGAAATTATCAAATTTCATTCCTAACCATACGGGTGAGTAACTCTTGTCCTCTCAATACCTTTGGCTTAGTCCTAATTGCTATTGCCGGATTAGGACTATTTGGCTAGTCCTAATTGCTATTGCCGGAAATAACAGATTAGGATACTGTAGCCTCCATCCTAAAACATGAAGAGCCACACATCCCAACCCCCGGCCTGCCCCACCATCAGGAGCATCATACAGTGGGATCCACAAGAACCCTTGGATCCATAACAATAATAGGAGGTTGTTCCTCAGATCTTCGAATTGTCTTCATTGATTACTTTTCCCTTTCAATGGCAAGAAAATTTAGAGGAGGAAAATGAGTATGTGGTCATGTAAATTTTATAGTTGCACCATTCTAATCCTGTTTATATGTGTGTGATTGTAGTGGTAATCCTTAAAAAGTGGCTTCTCACATGAAAAATGAATCAATAAACTGATTTTGAAACTTAAGAGTCTGATTGATTTATGAGACACTTGTTTCTTGTCATATTTCATTTTTCTCATCGTGTCATTATCTCCTAAATTGTTGGTAATGTTATATATTGAAAGTTTAGGACAAAAAGTATCTATTTACTCAGTGGTGCACAAAGAATCAAAAACTTAAAAGTAGTCTTTTTTTCTGTAGAATGAAAAGAATGAGACATTCTCAGAATAGCAGCACATCTTAATGCTCTAACTCAACAAAGAATAATAGACCTGTGCTTACATAAAACATTTTTATTGTTACTCATTTTTCATATAAGGGGTGAGAAATGAACATTTATAGATTATTGTTTAAACCGAGAATTCTTTTCAGTATTTTATCCATTCAGGTAAAATAACTTTTATACTTTTGTGTGTTTTGTTTTACATCCAGATATTCCAGATCAGGTTATCAGAGTTTTCAAAGCTGATCAACAAAGTTGTTACATTATTATCAGCAAAGACACTACAGCAAAGGAGGTTGTGAGCCATGCAGTGCATGAATTCAATTTGACAGGAGCCCCAGAGACATATTCTCTTTGTGAAGTTTCTGTGAGTCCTGAAGGAGTTATCAAGCAGAGAAGGCTTCCTGATCAATTCTCAAAGTTAGCAGACCGAATTCAGCTCAATGGGAGGTAAGTGTATTCATTTATTTTTGTTTTAAAATGTAGAAGGGAAAAACAAAAAAAGAAAATGCCTCCAAAGTATATGTGTATGTATGAGAGAGAGAGAGAGAGAGAGAGAGAGAGAGAGAGAGAAGAGATCTATTGCTTCTGATACAACAAAGACTATGGTTTATATAAGAATTATGTCGGCATTAAATATGATGTAATTCTGTGTCTGCTAGTAAAGCAGATGGTGCTCTTTTGTGGAGAGTAATACTTAATCTTTTATACAAAGAACCTGTACAAGATTCAACATTTGTGATAAAGCTAGATTTTAGTTTGTTGTTTCTTTAAGGTTATGTTAAGAGTCACTTACTCTTTGTTTCTTTAACTGTATTTTTAGGTATTACCTTAAAAATAATATGGAAACAGAGACACTTTGCTCAGATGAAGATGCTCAAGAACTGCTTAGAGAGAGCCAGATTTCCCTTCTACAGTTGAGCACTATTGAGGTGGCTACTCAGCTGTCGATGAGAGACTTTGAATTATTTCGCAACATTGAGCCTACTGAATATATTGATGACCTTTATAAACTTGAATCTAAAACTGGAAATGCTAACCTGAAACAATTTGAGGATGTTATTAATCAAGAGACATTTTGGGTTGCCACAGAAATTTTATCTGAATCAAACCAACTTAAAAGGATGAAGATTGTGAAACATTTTATAAAAATCGCTCTCCATTGCCGAGAGTGCAAGAATTTCAACTCTATGTTTGCTGTTATAAGGTAGGTTTTTTGCTTTTGACAGAGTTAAGAGAAAGAGTTAATTCTGTTAATAGAGTAACAGAAAATTTAGAATTTAATTACTGTGCCTTGAACATCAAAACCATAAATTTCAAATTGAATACTAATGTTGAAACTGTAGATAGTTTAATAAATATGTAATATAGCATTGGTTGAAGTTTAAATTAAAATATATAATGAAGTTATTACTTTGTAGAATAATGGAATAGGAATATGTTATTGAATTTATATCCTGTAACCCTAAACAGTCAAAACTACCTTATTTTATTTTTCTTTTGTATAATTGTGGCTATTAGACTTATGGATTTTCACTTTGGCATGGTATAATTTTCAGGCTTTGTAATTTCATTCCCCAACTTACTTTCCAAATTACCATTTTTTCATATTTTAGTTACACTTCCCAACTATAGCTTGAGATCCCTTAGGTTGCTTGCTTTTAACTATTTTTAAATCTGGGACCTGCCATTGTGGGAGAAAAATGCTTCTTCTGCAATCTTGATTAGTTAAGCATATGTTATTCAGGATTTCTGATTAACTCTGCATGTTTGCTTTGATTGTTTTTTATTTTTTTTATTTTCAGTGTAATGGTTAACTATAGCTAAAGTTGGAATTTATGCTACAGAATGGAAAAGGCAGGGAAGAATGCATAGTGCTGGTCCCAAATCAGTTAATGTACCTGAGGTAAAAGTAGAAAGCCTCCAATCACTCAGATCACCTTCCTGAGAACTTTTTAAAGGATGTTTATTCCCCTAAATAACTGCGTGGAAACGAGTGATATTCAGCAAACATGTATATAAATGCTGTCAAAATCCTATTTTGCGTTAAAGTTGTTGGGACTTACAAAATGCAGTTGTTTTTCCGTCATAACTGGTAATGCAACAATTATTTCTTGCAGTGGTCTTAATCTGGCACCAGTTGCTCGACTTAGAAGTACATGGGAAAGGTTACCAAACAAGTATGAAAAGCACCTTAGAGACCTTCAAGATCTTTTTGATCCCTCTAGAAATATGGCAAAGTATCGCAACATCCTTAGCAGTCAGAGTATGCAGCCTCCAATTATTCCCCTCTTTCCTGTTGTCAAGAAAGATATTACGTTTCTTCATGAAGGTATGAGAGAACATATTGGATCATAAATTAATATTATGGTTTGTGCCAAGGAAGATGTGATTCAGTGTTAAATGGAAACAACCTTTTAAGCATTAAGTATATTTGATCAACTCAAATATATATGGTGTTCTGCAATTCATAAAAAAGTAAAATTGCAGATAAAGTTTTAATGATCAGATAAAGTACATTGGCTGTATCCAATGTTAATATTTCCTGGAGTGGACTTATTGAAATGAATGGGGCTCACCATTCTCATATGTTCCATTAATTTCAGTGTGTCTGCTCTGGTTAGGACTAAGATTGGACCTTGCCAATTATACTGAAAGGATTAGGACTTTCTGTTAATGATATCTTGATTAATATGATGAATTATAATTCTGTCCATCAGTCCATTGAATAAATCGCTATATGCATACAAATAATAATTCTAAAATTACTGTATTTCTTCATTTGTAAGATGTCATTAATTGTAAGACACACTCTAATTTCAGTACCACCACCACCAAAAATACATAAGATAATCCTACAGTTCTAAGATACATCCCATTTTTACAGCTGTTTATACAGGAAAAGTGTGTCTTAGAAGTGAAAAAATACAGTAATTTATGTTTGCTGCAACCCATCTCTATACATTGCGATAATAAATTTTACACCTTGAAAAGGACACTATACTAATACTATAATATTTTTAAATGTACTTTTCATTGTATGCATTATGATCTTTATTTTTAATATGCATTTACTACTGTTTAAAATGGCACCACTGGGAAATGCTGGAATTGGACTTTTGCAGAATAAGAATGAGCCCTCTCCCTTGCAGAATGTGCATAACAGGAAAGGATACTAAAAGCAAAATGCATATTTCCATACTTGTGAATTTCCAAAAGTATTTAATTATGAAACCCAAGTCTGTCGAGATTTTGAAATTTGTGGATATGCACTTCCTCTAGAATAAATAAATAAAAAGAGGGGCATTGACAAATGAATAATGCATGGATTGGGTGGAAACAAGTTGTCATAGTGTGTGGTAACCTAAATGTGTTTGGTATTTTCTTAAAGGAATTAAAAACTGATTGGTAAGATATGAAAAGTGGCTAGCCTGGTGTGCTTCAGCTGAAATCTGAGATAGGTTTGTAATGTCAGACCAGTTTAGAGCCTCATGTGATGTACTTAAAATTACATGATATGGAGGCACATATGGGCAGGAGAAGTGGAAAGAGTTGATGCAATCAATTCTTCTTTCTGACTTGATGTCTCAAACATTTTGAGATCCTATGTAAAACATTAAAATGGATTCCCACTTTGTGAATGAAATTTGAGAATTGAACTTGGATTTGAAAGAACTGACAGCTGTGATGGGAATAAATTGGTCTGTCCTCCACTAAATTGAAAGGTAGAACTATTTTTAAGCAATAATAGGCTTGTTGCTTTTATTTTCATAGCCTTTCATTGTTATAAAATCAAAGTGAGCACAGTACAGCTGTATTTCCTTTTTGCTGACAGTTGCCACTATAAAACAATAGAGTGAGAATAAAGTTAGAATTTCTACTGAATTTTGAATGGCACTTGTACTCTGCATTACATCTTGTGGTTTTAACTGATGTTTGAGTTCAAGACCTTTGGCATCTGAAGATATATTACAAGACATGAGAAAAATATGTAAATTGCAGAAGTATTTTGAAATTTTCTTGCACATATTTTATAATTGTATAGGAAACGATTCAAAGGTGGATGGCTTGGTAAATTTTGAGAAACTCAGAATGATTGCCAAAGAGATTCGTCAAGTCGTCAGAATGACTTCGGCTAACATGGATCCTGCTGTAATGTTTAGACAAAGGTATGGCATTTGAAATAGAAATGGGGAAGGGGGTGAATCAGACAACAATAAATGTACATTTACATGTTTATATTTATTTTCATTTTTGGTTAGCATTTCTCATTGGAAATGAATGTACATGTTCTGTTAATCCTGTTTGCAGTGCCCGAGTGAAGGTCTAAATACCCCTATAGATATTTTAAAACAACACTGTTCAATCTTGCCACATTTCTTCATATTAGATCCTTAGATTTGGATTCCACATTTACCAGAATGGAAGTATTATGAGAGTTAAACTCCAGACCATATCTAAAATCAATGCAATTTGGTAGCTAATTGTCATTTTGAGATTGAAAATGTGACCCAGTATATTTTAAATGGAATGTTCATGATTAAAGGTGTATTATAATGTGATCACTGATGCAGCACAAGATAAAATTAATTACATTGCCCTTGAGATAGAACCTTATCTAAGACATAAAGGGGTAGAAACAAACAAAAACTCACCACCCTCACCCATCAAACCTAACTGAGGTCCTTTCTACACTGCCATATAAAATCCAGATCATCAGCTTTGAACTGGATTATATGACAGCGTAGACTCAGATAATCCAGTTCAAATCAGATAATGTGGATTATCTGCTTTGATCATCTGGATTCTATGGCAACGTAGAAGGCCCCTGAAGCCTCTCCACCCAGTCTGATTAGAAATCTCCCTTCCACACTCCCAAATGCAATCTTTTGAATCCTAGCCCTTTTGTTGTCTGTGTTTCTGTGTTTGCTGTGCATTGTAGTAAGTTTTGTTTCAGTATTCCATTGTAAAAATCATGTCACAGTTTTGAGGAGTGTTTTTTCTTGATTGAAACTTTCATTCCTCTTTTTTCTGTCTACATCCTTTTCCTTTCTGACTTTCAACTGTGATTTTTCCCCCTTTGCTTTTCTTTTTAAATACATGCTTCATTGTATATGGCTCTTGCTTACAGGAAGAAGAGGTGGAGGAGTTTGGGGTAAGTGCAGTGATTAATGCAACTAAGACTTTTAAAAAGTTATGCAACTCTTAACATTCTGCATCCTCATTAGTGCATGCATCTAAACAACAGCATGCATTTTATTAACCCCGCAGTGATCATTTCTAGTTACTTCCAAATTGAAGGGAGACAGGACCATGTTGTCATGTGGTCTTAAAAAATCTGACTGTGCTCATATTTTTAATTACACACACACACACACATGTTGTTGATTTTTCCCCATTTTAAAATATCTTGAAATTAACCCAATTTAAGACAATGTTGTGCATTTCAATTGTCTGTTAGCTAACTCTTTGAGTTCAGCTACAGCATTTTGAAAAAATGTTGGTACTTTTACAAATAAGTAAATGGATATTTGTACCAGTCTGTCCAAAAGCATGGATGAACCCCACACTTCTAAACAGATTTATTTGGTAATTCTCGCAGCTTAGTTGAACTTACTTACACTTGGTAGAGGGAAAAGACACAATACACTGTCACCAAGCAGTACTAGGGTCATCTTTGCATACAAGGGTGTGTGTCTGTTGATGATCCTTTGGCAGAGGGCTTCTACTCAGCTGCTCAGGCAAGACTCATGGATGCCAAGATCACCTTGTGCTTGTTGTCACTAGAAACCTGAGTTCAAGTTCAGGTACGGCTGTTCTAGCCATTCTTCCCAAACCTTAAAGATCCTCTCCCTAAAACAAACTGAAAGGAGTTACGTGCATCCAAATCCCAATCTTGATAGATTTGTGTAGGAGTGATTTAACTGCCAAATCTTCAATCATCTTGGTTTGCATAGGAGGGATAAGTAAGTTTCTGTGGTTTTTAGATGGAGGGTCAATGTGTTCCTGCCTTTTCAATAGATAATACAGATTATATGAGTTATCTAAAAATTTGTAAATATAAACAAAAATGCTCTGATCTTAAGTATAAAAGCTTTCTCTTTTATACTCTAGCCATTTTGATATCTTGACAAAATGGAGTCCTGGTAATGGGTGATTTCAGTTTAGGGATGAATGTGTAGATGAAAGGTTTGATGCGCAAGATCCATTTTCATTTTAATCACGGGAAAAAGCCAGTTCACAGAAAGCATTATTCACTGAATGGTTCCTTCAGGCTACATAATTAGGAAATTGTTCTAAGCCATTCCAGTAGTACACATTGATTGCTTAGATCATATTACTTGGAGCGCAATGGATTTCCATGTGCTGCTTAGCTTTTAGGTATGCATAATATATCAGTATTACTTAGAGAATATTATTCACTGTCATATAAAACACTGAACAAAGCAGTGACTCTTCTTAATAATGAATCTTGATCATATTACTGACACAACAAAACTGAAGAGAAGGAAGTTTTGATTCTCCTATAGGTAATACATTGAATCACATCAGCCTTAGACACCTGGAGTTTTCAGAGTTATCTCTTATGTTTGATAGTAATCTAAAGAAATTTGTTCCGATTCCTAGAACAAACAATATTTGAATTTCCAGTGTTGTTAGGTTGATGAGCAATAAATAACATTTAGTTTAGATTAAGAAGGGTAGTCTTCTCACAACAAAAGAGAAAATCCTATTTGAACACTTGCTTCAGGAAGTCGAAAAATGTGTGATAATAGTATGCTTATTTTAATAAAAGCACGCCTATACAGTTTATATTGGAAAAGTGTTACAATAATCAAAGTATATCTCATACAAAAGCTGCCAAAAGCTTTAATAACTTGAATGCTATCAGTTACATAACTTCTCTGCCCATCTCATATTTTGCAAATGTTACAGAACTTTTTTCTATTCAATCTGTGCAATATTTGAACCTATTGTTCCAATATCAAGAAATTGGTGATATAGGTATAATTTTGTGAATTATTCCTCTATGTGTACTAATTTGAACCACTGTGTGCCTTCTTTCAAGACCTTTTTCCTTAAGACCACAAGTTGTTATGTGCTATGGATAACATGCTATACCTAAAGTGAAGCATAGGTATTTCTCAGCATATAGCAAGTGTCTAAGTAGTATTGTATAACAGGATAAAATTGTGTCACAAATACAACAAAATTGGTTTCTTTTTTAAAATGTTATGCTGTGCCTAGTGCATTTGTAATATGTTTTTCTGTTCCTAATGTCTCTTTTAGGGGGATGGTGTGTTGTGTGAGCATGTCAGAATTAAGATATACTTTCTGAAGAGATGCAAAGTACAGCTTACTAGGCTTGTGCATGGATTTGATTTGGACATTTGCCTTCGGCTTGTCTGGAAGCCCATAATGGCATGGGCTTCGCAGCCAATTTTTTACCGGCTGCAGCAGAACAGTGGCTGTCGAAAACTGGCTGCTTTCAGTTTCTTTCAGTTACGCTCGTGGAGTGCGGGGAAGGAGGCAGCGCTAGAAGGAAAAGGATCCCAGGAAGCAAGGTTTCTTATGCCCTCCCCTCTCTCTTGATTTGTAAGCAGAAAAAGAGATTCAAGCACAAGGGAGTAAGGTGCCAGTTCTCCTTTCATGGCCTCCAAATCAAGAGAGAAGAGAGGGCTTTTTAAAGGGAGCCCAGGGTAGGATACCTCCAGGTCGATCCCTCTTCCTTCCCTGGAAAATGGGAAGCGCCTTTAAAATGCCTTGAAAAACTGCCTCCTGCAGGGAGAGAGCTGCACGCAACTGCAGATCCTGTCTCCTCTAGAGTAGAAACAGCTATAACAAAGCATTAAATCCAGATTCTCTCTAAGTCAGAAGAAAAAGGCAGCAGGGTTTCTTAAGCTCTCCCTTGTCTCTTGATTTGGAAGCAGAAAGGAGATTGAAGCGCCAAAGGGGGAAAAGGCATCCTAAGGTTTCCCTTCCCTGGGAAATAGGAAGGCCCCTTAAAATAGGAAGCCCCCTTAAAAGGCCTTGGAAAACTGGCCTTTTCTCTAGGGAAAGAGCTGTGTGGTGTGTGCATCTGCAGCTCCTTTTTCTTGTAGAGTAAAAACAGCTTTAACAAAGCATTAAACCCAGGTCTCCTTTACAGACAGAAGGGAAAGAATCCCAGAAAGAGTTGTAACTTATCTCTCATGCTTTTAATTCAGGTCTTAATGAAGGTTATAAGGACAAACAATGCCTAAAATGACAGGAAGAGGGGCCTGGAAGGCCCCCCCCCCCAAATAATGGGCCAGATGGAAAACACTCTTTTGGCTCCCTAGATTGTAAAAAAGATTTCTGTCCTCCCAAGTTTGGGAGGCTTCCTATAAATGGTTTGGGGCACCCACCAAAACCCCGGACCTGAAACAGCGGTTTACCTGGATTGCACAAGCCTACAGCTTAAGGAACATTGTTGGGTTTATGAGCTCAGTGCTTTGAAACAGCAGTAGTTATTAAAACTGGATTTTGTTTTCAAAACTGGAGTACATTCAAATATATTAAAACAGAATTAAGCATGAAGTCTGATAATACACAGAATTTTAGCAATTTTGATGAAATATACAACAGATTTATCAGGCTTTCAAGACCTATATACTATCTAGTCAGAAATGTTCACAAGTTTTACCTACATCCTAAAATTTACTTTTTCTCCATTTCTTCAGCCTACCCTGATTTGTATAATAAAAATATATTATCATTTTCTTTCCTGTCCCCTATGTGCCTCTATTGAATCTTTATCCTTTTCTGTTTTTCTTTGTAGGGATCTCAGGAGACTTGCCTGATCATTCAATTTAGTCAAACTATTTCCTTTTGCTATCATCCTTGTCTTTTTCTTTCCTTTTTAAAATCTTTTAAGGTGATGTTAAAGCCATAGATCCTCAAATTCATGATCCTGTATAAGCCAGCTTGGAAATGTACTCCTTCTAAACGTCTCTTATTTTTGTATCCTCCCTGTCATGGAAATTGTGGCTTTTATTAAATGTTTAATACTTTTCTCAAATTCAAATTTTCACAGGAAAATCTATCTATCACACAAGTGTAACCGAGAATCTCTTTGAGGTCTCACTTACCCCTTCTTTAGCCACTGTTGATCTTTTGCTAGACTAGAGGATTTTTTTCCAGATGTCCGGAGTTTAGTAAATGTTTTTTAGAAATGTCAATAAAGAATCAAAATCCTCACTGTTCATGTCAAATACAACACATCGTGCTTAGAAACAGGTCCATTTTTTAAAAAGTTGACCAAGATGTATTCCCTGCTCTTCCTCACAGTAGAGAGGAAATTGAGACTATTCAAAGTACATGCTTTTAAAGATAATTGAGATTTCCATCCACTTAAATATTAATCCACATGGCAAGTGAAAGCAACACTTTGTCCAAGGGTGGCAATTACAGTTATGAGGAGAGGAAATTTGTAGATGTTACTAAAGACAAAATGCCTCCTTAGGAGATCCTAATTCCATTGCTGTTTTCAAAACACAGGTTCTAGTTCTATAAGCTCTGATCACAGTCCTCATTCATGCAGCTGGTTTACTTTGTTTTCACTTTCTCTCTAGCAGTTCCCCTTACTGAACTACCTGTGCTTTCAAATGCAGCTTGTGATTCAAAGAAGGGACTCAAAGAATAAAACCATAGAACAAAAGCACCCACCAGTGTGCATGACTTTTTTACACACAGATTTCTTGATCACAGTTAGGATGTATGATCTCCTTCAGAAGTAGAATAGTAAATTATGGCAGCTCCCAGGAAGGTGTTAGATTAATCTCCCTTGGCAGACTTTGTTTCCTTAAAGAACGCATTGTAGTCTTCTAATGAAAGGGGTGAGGGAAAAATAGTTTCTAGTGAAACCATCTCAGTTGGTTCAGGAGTACGTTAAAACGATAAAGCTCAGATATTCTTACACAGATAATGTTACCAGATGAGAATAGTCATACAGTACAATCCTCCTTGCATGTGAAGACCTGAATATTGCTTTATTGCACCTTCTCTTCTTCAGTACTTGAAGCTCTTGAAAAGCTCAGAGGAAGAGAAGGATAAATGGGCAATCATTTTGCACATACTGTGATCTGTTAAAACCAAATTACTTTAACAACACTGAATTCAGAAGAGAGAAAAAAATTCCAATAGACTTTTCAGTGAAAGTCTGAATGACCTTAGTTACATCAGTTAAGGTGAAGCTGTGTACCATTTGTTTGGCTCTAGATCGCTTTGCAGTTTTGTTGCTTAATAATTCTTTTCTAGATATATTAACTCTGTTACCAGTTTTGCAACTTGCTTTAAAACAAATGTTGTGTTAACACTGTTCATCTCTTTTTAACTTGACATCAGCATGCGCTTTCAGTGGAAGAGTATTTGTGCTTCAGTGTTTGCTGCTTGGATTCTTCTCAACCTAAAGTGATGCTGAACTGAACTGCCTGGATGATGTTTTGTTTTGCAGGTCCCTGAGCCAAGGCAGCACGAACTCAAACATGTTGGATGTTCAAGGAGGTGCTCATAAGAAACGGGCCCGGCGCAGCTCCTTGCTAAATGCAAAAAAGTTGTATGAAGATGCTCAAATGGCCAGGAAAGTCAAACAGTACTTGTCCAATCTGAATGTGGAAACAGATGAAGAAAAGTTCCAGATAATGTCACTTCAGTGTGAACCTGCATATAGTACTTGTAAGTTAAACAATGAAGTTAGTGATAGAAAAGGCTTGAATAGCTTTAGCTTTTGGTGAAATGGATTTAGCACAGAATTCATAAATATATACAGGCAGATGCTGCTAGATACAAAGATGCACATCCTGTCATTTGCATTTGGCTGAGTTTGCACATGTTTGGCCTTTGGTTTTTAATTCCTGTAGCATCCTGACACTCCCCTGGCCCAAGTCAATAGTTAATGAAAAATAAAGGTAATATAGTGCAAATAGCGGTAAAAAGAAAGCATATTAGCACTACAGGCCTGTCAGCCATGGAAACCCATATAGGATATAGGCAAGTTAATTGTTCTCTATAAAAAGATTAAAAAAAAACAGCAAGAGAGAGTGAGGCATGTCATGCCATCCAATGCATATTTGAATTCAGTATAAGCATTAGATAGCAACTCTGAAAACCAGGGTTTGAATCTCAACAAGACACTGAACAAGACACTAATCTTCATGGGAAGAGGAAGTCCAATAAAAAATAAACTTGTTCGTTTCTTAGCTTGTCAGTGAACTCACTTATACAAGAAGAATGCTGTTGGACAATTACTAGACTCTATCCTGTATCTCTCTGCTGTCATGCAGATGGCTCTGGGCAACCCACAAAAGACACAATGGCTATAATTCTCTTATGTTCTTGTTTTCAAACACCTGATATTTAGCTGTGTTATGTGCTTGATCCTGAAGGTAGCATATAGCCAATTAATGCCTTTCAAACATCTCTTCCATTATTTATTTAATCTTTTTCTTTATTTAATTTATATCCTGTTTTCTCCCTTTAAGGGCCCAGTATATTTACCAAATAAGGAAGCTGAGACCTGCATTTCTCTGAATAATGCATTTGTAGTGGTACAAGTACTTGGAGTAGGTCTAACAGCTCTTTGCTAGAGGACAGAATGCCTCATCTTGACTGGGAAGTGACTTTAGAACCCATTTATTAATGCAGACAGCAGTTTGCTATCCCTCTAGGGATAACAGAAATTTATCTGGAATGACAAATTTGTCCATTGGTGTTCTATATTCTAGATGAAGAAGTTATTCTAACTTCATCTTCTAATATTTCCTTTCTACCTCTATGTTTTTGCATGAAGTAAAACTATTAAAATCTATGATCCCTGCCATTTTGATTTGAAAGACTGTGTGCCTTCAGTATGTTTTCAACTCACAGTCATGCAACTTATCACAGGGTTTTCTTGGCAAGATTTGTTTTAGATGGTGTTTGGCTCTGCCGTCTTCTGAGGCTTAGAGAGGGACTTGCCCAAGGTGACCCAATGGGTTTCCATGGCTAGGTGGCGATTCAAACCCTGGTTTTCAGAGTTGTTATCTAATGCTTAATCACTACACCACACTGACAAGTAAAGCCACATACATGGTTATATTTCCCTTTTAACTCTATAACTGGGTCAAGCATAGGATATACAAAATACAGCCAGATATAAAAAGTAAGCATAAATATGGGCCTTTCTATTTCTTATTTCAAAGTGTAGTAAGCAAGAGCTGAGAATCAAAGGTCATTTGTTCTGAAATGTAGCAGTGACTTAATTATGCACAGATGGTGGAAGGGTGAGCATTATGAATCTTGCTTTGTTTTTCTTAATTTTGTTGCAGGGGAATATCCTGTCACATGATGTAAAATCAACCCATTTGTTTGAACATAAAAAGGTTGCTTGCTATACTGCATCAGAAAATTTACAGGGTTCCATATATAAACAATCCATTAAGTTCTTTTGAAAAACTGTTTTCTAGCTGATTGGCCGATGAAAAATATATAGTGCTGATTCATAGAGTAGATCATTTATTGATTCTGTATGAATGTGGCAAGCACAAATTCACAAATATATCTCATACATCTTTCTTCTCATAAGCCAGTCAGAGATTCAACTTGTTGAAGAATAACTCATTCGAAAACTGCACTAGATTTAGGAATAGATTTACTATTGAACATAGTTCTGTAGCTTTATGATAATTAAAACTGAAGCTGTATATGTTATGCTATGAATTAAGTGTGCCACCTAGTGGAAAGTGAAAAGGACGAATTTGAGGAATAGGCTATCTCAAGTATCAAGACCAATGGCAAGAATAGTAATGCCTAGAGCCAGGCTCTTATTTAACTTAGGTTGCATTCTGTCTCAGGCATTTCAAAGGATCTCTGTACTAAATATGATATACATCTGAATTGAACTCAGTTTTTACAGCATTTATTATTTCTAGAGTTACTCCTTTTCAGACATGATTGTTGAATTTATTAAAAGAATAAATTAGAATATAAAATAATTGAGTTCATTTTCTTCACTATATCAGTGACAAAGAATTTAAGTGAAAGACGAGGTGTAAAAGGTGCAGAAATGTCTCCAATGCCATTGAGGTCTGTTGGACAAACCACAAAAGCTCATTTACATCAACAGAACAGAATGAGTCAAGTCCTTCAAGTTCCAGCTGTTAATTTGTACCCCATAAGGAAAAAAGGACCAACAAAAGACCATGTCACTTTCAGTGAGTATATCTTTAGTTTTAAAATCAGCGTTCCACATAAAATTGGTAAATTTTCTTTATTACAAACAGTGACTTTAAGCTTATTTTATAAGACATTATATTTCCATTTTAATATAACTGTGTCAGCGCATAATGCCAAACGACACTATTTTAGCTTGACAACCTACTTTTAACTATTTGTATCTCATCTTTGTATGCAAATCCTCCCAAGGTAGCTTACAGACAAAATCAAAATAGAATAGGCATTCTATGCATAGAGATTGTAGGTTGGCTTAGCTCCTGTTCCTGTTTGCTTAATATGCTTGATGAACTTTTGATTATGCAAAAGGCTATCTCCCTGGTCTAATTGCTTGATGCAAGAGAAGCCTTTTGTATCCCTGGCCTTTTGGCAAGTGGGTTAGTTGAAGACTGCTTATAAGGTAGGGGGAAACTCTGGGCTCTTCTATATTCAAGGCAGGTAATTGTTGACAAGAAGATCATCCCCATGGAAGTAGCAGCTTGGGCCTGAGGCAAGACTAGTTTGAGGCAAGTGGAAGTAGGGTGTGGTAAGGACAAGGATGGAGAATTGATGAGAACACAAAATTACTATATTTATTTGTATAAATGTTTGAGAAGTCTTCACTTTTCACAGAGACATGTTAAACCAAAGCAAATGCATCCAAATTTCTTACGTATAATGAATATAGATATTGAGAATTAACAGTATAACCCCCCCCTTCCCCATCTAGTTGCAAGATCTCTAGGAAGCCTTTACTTCCATTTGCTGAGGGCGTATTTTAGTCTTCTCATTTTTTCAAATAGAGACACAAGATGTCAGGAGTTTGTTATAACGACAACATAACTTATGAGAATGCAGTGTTTGGTCATTAGTTCTGAAACATTCATTTCCTTCTGTCAAAAGGATATTTTGTTTACAGGGTAAACATTCTGAAAGAAACAGTAAGTTCTTATTGCACAACACAATGCATAACCCCTCAAAAGATAATAAGATTACTTTTTGTTTGTGTCTTGCAACTTTCGTGAAAGTATTTAAACAGAAGAAGGATTATTCCAGATTCGATTGGATTCTGTGTATATGTATAAGTTGGTGTGTGTTTCATAAACATTGTCACCTCTTTCTTTTTGCTCTATTTAAATGTTGGCATCCTGCTGAATCAGTCTCATATTGCCCACAGAGTGAACTTTCAAGAAACAGCTGGGGTAACTTCAATCAATGTGGGCTTTAGTTCAATTACCTTGGGGAAATAAAATATTCCTTTGTAGGGATTCTCCAGCCTGAATTATGGGAATTAGCATTTTTGTTCCATTACATTAACAGGTGCTGGATCTCCTCAGAAGTCAATGTCTGAAGAATCAAATAATAAAAAGCAGGCAGAGGATAACATATCTGTGGCATCTCTGCATTCCAGTCCTCCTGCTTCTCCTCAGGGCTCTCCACGTAAAGGTAGGGATGCCAACAAACCTTATAACAGCTTTACTATCAATGTATCTCTTTTCTATTGTTTATAAGTTTATGGAATTAATTTTCACATAAGTATACTGATTGGAGAAAATAAAGTGAACTGATGGATTATTTTTGTCTATGGTTTAGAAATTTGCTTAGTCTTACTTCACAATGTTTACCTTTTTATCTTAGCGTATACTCTGAACACCTACAGTAATTCATAATTGCTGTTCCAGTCTGACTTATATAAGAAATTATCTGAATATTTCTTATTGGGATAATAAAATCTGTTGTAATGATTGGCCGTGTATTTAATATATGGGATATGTCCATTTGCTTTCCATATTTTGTTTCAACGAAAAAGCCATTAGTATACAGTATATACTCGAGTATAAGCTGACCTGAATATAAGACGGGGCACCTAATTTTACCACAAAAAACTGGGAAAACTTATTGACTTGAGTATAAGCCGTGGGTGGGAAATGCAGCAGCTACTGGTAAATTTCAAAAATAGAAATAGATACCAATACAGTTACAGTAATTGAGGCATCCGTAGGTTCATTGTTTTTGAATATATACCATATTTCAAAGTAAAAGAGTAAACTAGCTCTGTAAGTGGAAAAAGAGTTTCAATAAAAACAATGTTATCAACAACAATAACAACAGAGTTGGAAGAGACTGCATGTGCCATCTAGTCTAACCCCCTTTTGCCTTCATGCAGCAAAAGCACATTCAGAGCACCACTTACAGATGGCCATCCAGTCATAACAACAACAATAGAGTTGGAAGAGACTCCTTGGGTCATCTATTCTAACCCCCTTCTGCCTTCATGCAGTAAAAGCGCAATCAGAGCACCCCTAACAGATGGCCACAACAACAATAATAGAGTCCAACCCCCTTCTGCCTTCCCCTTCTGGCAACAGGAGAGAGGGAGGCGTGCAAAGGGCAAGACGAGCAGGGAGGGAGGCACGCGTCTCTGTCTCTCCTTTGACTGCACACAGCAACAAAAGGATAAACAGAGGCCCATGTGTCGCAAGAGAAGCATGTGGCGAGTGGAGGAGAAACGGGGTGCGCGCATCCTTCCATGCTTATCTTTGCACTCCTGCACATCACTGTTTTTCCTTCTGTCGCTGCGCACACAACCTTTCTGCTCTAGTACAGCAACCCAGTTGGGTTGCTGTGCTGAGAGTAGAGGGCACATGCGCGGCAACAGAAGAAGAAATGGAGATGCGCACCTCCCTCCCTGCTTGTCTTGCCACGCGTGGGCCTCTATTTCTCCTTTTTCCAGCAGACGTGGAGGCAAAGACAAGGCCAGGCGGCAGAAGACTGGGTGACAGCGGCGGCAGTAGAGCCTGCCGGCGCTTCACTTGAATATAAGACAAGGGGGGCTTTTTCAGTCCCCCAAAAGCGCTGAAAAACTCGGTCTATATTAGAGTATATATGGTACTTTCTTTTGGGAAGTATTTGAGAATGCTTCCTGAAAATTACTTTATTAAAGCTGTCCCATGTTTTCATGTGAAATCTTGAGGATTGTGCTGTATATTTTAAGGTTGATTTCATGTCTTCAAAATTGTTCAGCCCCCCCCCCCCCCTTTTGAAGCATAGTATTGTTTGGATAAAGTAGCACATGTCTTGTTTTGTATAACTAGTAACATCTCATTATGGAGCTAAATTTGGTCTATCCTTTCTCTAAGTAATTAAACATCCTTGTCTTTGTCATTGTTTACTTAACTGCAAGTTGCACTCCCTTTTGTACTATATCCAAATCTAACATTACATGGATTAAAAAAACAAAAAGGCATTCATTTTACTGTCAGTATGTTGCTTACTTTGTGTGTTCCTTCTTTGTAGTTGGCAACCCCCAGAGATCTGATAACTGCAGCCAGATAAACCTCTCTGGATCATCCTCATCTCTTGCAAGTGAAACAAGCAACAAGAACAGTGGCCAACGCAACTATGGGATAGGTGGGGCTTATTTGCAAAAGAAAATTCAGCAGATGACTAGCAAGACAGCAGAAAAACTAGCCAGTACTGGAAACAGACAGAGTGAGGATGCTAGAGAGAAGACAGAGCCTTTATACAAGCCCAGGAAAAGGATGGCATCCCCCTTTGGAAGATTCAGGGAAAGGAGTACCTCCAGGGAAAGACCAGCATTCACCCATAATATGAAAGAAGTGTGCATGCAAGAGAAAGCTAGAAAAGAGGAACTAAAGGACATAGACAGTAATGTGTTCCATACAACCAGTAGCCATGGAAACAGTTCTCTCATATGGCTGTGCCCACAACTGAGGCACAAAAGAAGGAAGACTATATAACATTCTGTTCCGCTCAAGTCAGGCTGTAAAATTGTATTTATGCTGTGTATATACATTCAGATATGTTACATATTTCTCTGTTTTATTATTTATAGCAACATTTTCATTCTCCCCCCAGACATGTGACTGATAATATAGTTAATTTCTCACACATAATTTACTTACTCGTTTTGAAACTCAAAGCTGGGAAGTTATTAACAAGAGTAGGAAACTTTACATCTCCTTAGATGGTCCTTATCCAACACATGTTGCTTTTTGAAGATTAAGTACTATTTGCTCCAGTTTTCTTTCAGCATCAGTCACAGCTTCACAGATTGTGAGTCTCTTCCCTCAGCTATCTGTGTGCCTTATAGGCCCCGGGGAAATACATCATTTGTGCTGTTTATGCAGTACACAATAGGAAGCATATGATTTGCGTATTGGAACCAAACTGTAACTTGCTTGTATCAGTGTTTACTTGGAAAGTAGTCACAGTGGGTGTCCTGGACTTCTTACTTGCTAACTTCATAACTAACTACTGCACTTTTAGAGGCTTCGTTATAAATGTACAGTAGCATGAATCTGAATTGTGCTCCCTGGTTTTACTATTTTATGGGGACATAATTTTATTACCTGTAAGCCACAATCTATAATTGTGATGGCTGTAGTTAAAGTTAAGGGGTTATATATGGAAGTGTCTTACTCTTTTGCTGACAGATTTCAGTCTTCTGAGACCGTTGCCCTTGGAATCTTCTCAAACAATTTAGGAGACCTTCAAACTAAATTTGAAGGGTGAATAGTGAACTACAGGAGGAAGGAGGGAAAATAAAAGATCATATTGCAAGAATGAAAGTTACTCATTTAATTTCATGTGTCAAGTAATATATAATATAATTATACATTACATATAAATTATATGTGATGCAACAAGTAATTTTAATAGATATGAGTTTTTAGGTTTTGAAAATTGTAGAATAGTTTTACCTCTAGCTGGTGATACAGTCTGGACGTTTAATGTAATCTGAAATGATTCGGCTTCTCATCTTTAGATTTTAAGAAGCTTCTATATTTAATGCATAGATAAAGCTGTTTTCTCAGATACATATTAACCTATATATTAATGCTTCAAGAACATACAGTTTAAAAACAACTGTTTGAAATGCATTTTCCTACCTTTAAATTGTCGGTTTCTCCTGCTTGATAAAATAGCACAATTACACAAATGTTTTACATTTCCCAAAAGTGTAATTACTTTCAAAATTATGCACACTTCCAACTTAATGGGTTTTGATTTTGTTTCTTGAATGTTAGTTTACTTAGTTGCTGAGATTATAATTGAGTGCATTATGTACATTTGTAGATTATCCAAAATCAGAAGACAACATGGTTTTTTCACAGATAGCAGATCAGATATTGTCTCGTTTCTATATAAATATTTTAATAAGCCATGACCATAAATCATACACACGCATACACGCAAAGTGTAGTCTGCATTGCGTATTCAAGGACTTATTGTTTGGAAGAATCTCTATTAGTGACCATATTCACTCAGCTTCTGAATTGCTTTTTGAATTCTCTCCTCCATTCTCCAGGTTGATGAGCATTTTGGGTGCTGGGTACAAGAGCATAGAGTTTCCTGGGGCAGAAATGACATGCAGATGTTATAGAACATTTCCTTTCAAAGGTTAATTTTGAAAGATTTTTTAAAAGCTTGGGCACTCTGTGCAGGCAAGCTGCTAAAGAGATGGTATGCACATGTGTCCTTGGATTATAGCTATCTTTTAAAAAAATCTAAACAAGGAAGAGTTACTCCTAAAATGTAAACAATATTAAGGTGATGTGGGACTAATGCATCAACTCTGTCTTAGCCAATGAGAGCCTGAAGGGGAAAAATAATAAAACACCATTTAAAAATCCTGTTATGGGTAGAAAATGTGGAGACATGTATTGCCATCTATTTTCACTTTCTAAATAAATAGTGCAGACAGTGGAAAAATTCAGCTGGTATATGATACTATAGTTTGAGCTGCCACTGGATGCTGATTTGTCTAGAGTAGCCACCCTCAAACTGTGGCTTTCCAGCTGTGTTGACCTCTAATTCCCAGAAGCCCTAGTCAGCTTTTTCAGTGATCAGGAGGAATTCTGGGAGTAGGAGGCCCAAACAGCAGGAGGGCCACAGTTTGAGGATGCCTGGTCTAGAGGGTTTATAGATCTCAATTCTGTTGGTTGGCCGCAACTAGAGTAGACCTGCTCAATGAATTATAATTGAATGATGCATAGCTTGTGTAAATCACAATGTTTCAGTGTGTCTAATTAAGATTAACAAATAGGATCGGGGCCATAATGTGTTCCTCAGTGGAAGAAAGTGGACAGATGTGGACAGCAGGAATAAAGAGAATTCAGCAATATTCTATTTTTTATTTTATTTATTGACTTCACTTGTATGCCGCTTTTCTCAGCTCAGCGGGGGACTCAAAGCGATTCCCAACACAATGAAGGCAAAATTATTTATTTACTTATTTACTTATTTATTTATTTATTTACTTTACTTGTATACTGCTCTTCTCAGCCATCAGGCGACTCAAAGTAATGCCTCACATACAGAAACCTGACTTTAATAAAATGCAATTATCAATATTCTACCATTCCAAAATGTAGGTTACAATCCGAGTTTAAAATAAAATAGCATGGCAGTGAAACACAAAATTACATATCCTCTCTAGTTGACCATGAGATTTTACTACATTGTCTTAACCTTTGTGCTTTCTGTATTTGCTTAGGCAGTGGTTCTCAACCTGTGGGTCCCCGGATGTTTTGGCCTTCAACTCCCAAAAATCCTAACAGCTGGTAACTGGCTGGGATTTCTGGGAATTGTAGGCCAAAACACCTGGGGACCCTCATGTTGAGAACCATTGGCTTAGAGAAATCATGAGAGTTCAATTTGCATTTCCCTTTCACATACCCAAAACATCCTTCATTTCAAAGCTAATATTCAAAGTGGCTTACAAATAAAAAGTTATACCACCAATCAAAACATTTATTTAATCACAAAGAATAAAAGTAGCACAGCTTACTGCAAAAATGCCCTTTTCTTATAAAACAATATGTACTCAAAACCTCCTGGAATTAAAAGGATGTTGACAAAAGGACAGCAAGAAGGAATTCAATCTAGCCTCCTTAAGAAAATTCTGGTGTCTGGGAGCATCAGCAGGGAAAGTCCTTCCTTGCTTCCTCAGTAAATGTTCCTTTCAGAGTGGCAGAATCAAGAGAAAAACATCAGTTGTAGATCTTAAAAGTATTCAGGCAGGCGCATAGGGGAAGGTAAGCTTTTTCAGAATGCCTTCCATAGGGGCTATATAGAACATTTTTGGTCATAGGTAGTACTTTGATTTGAACTTGGAAACAAAGTGAATGGCATTATTTATTTATTTATTTATTTATTTATTTATTTATTATGACATTTATATCCCGCCCTTCTCACCCCAAAGGGGACTCAGGCTCAGTGAAGGTCCTGTCACAAAAGAATAGTGTGCTCTGTGTGGAAGGAAAGATCCATCTAGCATATAATTGTAATGTAAAGAGGGCACACCTAAAGGCATATGTTACCATGGTCAAATCAGACTTTCGTAGGAATGCCAACTAATTGACATACTGGCTTCAAATGTGGAAATGTACTCCTGGCAGCTGATAAACCTGAGTGTCCAGGTTCAGACTGAATCTAGGAATACACACAAATATGAGGCTTATTACCTTATTTTGGGAAATGAACCCAAACCAAAATATGCAGTTACTTCCAGATAAGGTAGGACTGAACAAAAAGAAAAGTTTCAATTTGAATGCTATTCAGTGCTGTGAACTAGCTGTGCAATCTCTGAATTAGCTATTGAGAACTAGCTGTGAACTAGCTACTTGACTCTTCCCACTAGTTTTATAATTTAAACAAATTTTAACTGTTTGTTTGTCATAAGAGAGGCAACTTTCCATTTTGTGATCATAATGAATAAAGCCCTGTATCATAAATACTGGGAGTGGGAGCAAAAGCATCATGACAGATGGATGATACTAGAAAGTATTTCTCCTATGTAATGTGGTAACATGTATTTCTTAATTAAAAAGCCATACGAATCCCTTTCCCCTTTAAATCCTTTTCTTCTCATGTCATGTTGTAGGCTATGCCCTGATACCGTCTGCCAAATCTGAGAATTTCTCTGATTCCAGCCACAGTGAGATCTCTTCCCGGTCTAGCATCGTGAGCAACTGTTCTGCTGACTCTATGTCTGCAGCTCTTCAGGATGAGAGATGTCTGCCTCAGGCACTGGTGGTGATAGATTCAGTGGGAACAGCAGAAAGGAAAGACCACCTTCTGCCATCCTCAGAGTACAGCCAGACATGCCCTGGGTAAGAGTTGATTGACTGATCCATGACAAGAGAAGTGTGACGATTATATATTTAAATCATTAACAGTTGCTGGCATAACTATTATGCTTACAGGTATTATTAGCCTGCTGAAAAGCTTTTAGCACTTTAAAGGAGAATGCGACATGCTCCCTCCTCAGGGAATTTCAGGTTTCACATTTTAAGCAGGTGATGATTCTCCTTGTATTGGCAAGCCATAAATTGATATATTAATGCACTTCGAAGAAAGTACATTACTGCTATGGGATTTAAATAAATTGCTTCTGGTATAGCACAAGGTACTGACTGTTTGAAGATGTTATCATCATGAACCTTAAAAGCCTTGCTGCTTAAAATGCATTCCCATTCAATGTACAGCATGACTGCAGTTGTTCGTGATAAGTATTTTAATAGCGGTGTTACACAAGTCTGAAATTTGCTTCCAGGCATAGGCCTAAGGCATGTTGTCAAAACTTGAGTTCCCTCTCTTCTGTGAGGGGTTAGCTGCTACCAGCAGAATGGACATGCCAGATCTCAGTGAAGCCTCTGGGGCATGGGATATTTTTTACCAACCTTAACTCCTTTTCAAATGGGTTTCCTAGCACATACAGTTAATGTGATGCTGAAGTTTGGAATGCAATAATGCTAAACATCTTTAAATTTTTTACACTGATGGACTTAATAATTGGACATGTCTGCATAGGATGTTGCCTAGCTGTCTAGAGAAAATGTTTTAATGTTTGCTTTTTTATTTTATTTTTTAAAAAAACTTGTCTACATAGTGTACAAAGAGGTACCTGGTGATCTGTGCAAGGTGCCATTGAATCATAGAATCAAAGAGTTGGAAGAGACCTCATGGGCCATCCAGTCCAACCCCCTGCCAAGAAGCAGGAATATTGCATTCAAATCACCCCTGACAGATGGCCATCCAGCCTCTGCTTAAAAGCTTCCAAAGAAGGAGCCTCCACCACACTTCGGGGCAGAGAGTTCCACTGCTGAACGGCTCTCATAGTCAGGAAGTTCTTCCTCATGTTCAGATGGAATCTCCTTTCTTGTAGTTTGAAGCCATTGTTCCGCGTCCTAGTCTCCAGGGAAGCAGAAAACAAGCTTGCCCCCTCCTCCCTGTGGCTTCCTCTCACATATTTATACATGGCTATCATATCTCCTCTCAGCCTTCTCTTCTTCAGGCTAAACATTGTGATAGCATGGTAAATTGCCATCCTGGTAAATTACCACTATCCCTGATGGAACAAATGACGCAGCATAGTGGCATCATGTGATAAAGTCCTAAAATATAAAATATACCAGACCTAAAATATCCAGTCTTGCGTAATGTTTGTGTATGTGTGGAAAAGAAAGAATACTCTTGTGAGATTCATGCTGTTGAGGTAAGATCAAATAGGTTTGATAGGGTCTAAACACACTCTCAGGCCAGACCCCCGCCCCACCCCCCAACAGGAAACAACTCAGCCCCCCACCAAAATGAATATCTCCTCTCTCTTCTTCAGGCTAAACATGCCCAGCTCCTTAAGTCGCTCCTCATAGGGCTTGTTCTCCAGACTCTTGATCATTTTAGTCACCCTCCTCTGGACACATTCCAGCTTGTCAATATCTCTCTTCAGTTGTGGTGCCCAGAATTGGACACAATATTCCAGGTGTGGTCTAACCAAAGCGGAATAGAGATATGTGCCTCATGCAATCCAATCAGTTCTGTCTGAACATAGTGATGTGCATTGAACTAACTGCTAAAATGCAGAAGAGCAAATTGTCCTGTTTATTTATGTGTTATGCAGTTTTGGTCCCATCTTTCTATTGAACTCAAGCTAACACAGATGAGGTTCTCAATCAGTAGACAGGGCTTACTTCATATTGCATTTATCCCTTTCAAGGCTGTTACATTATGTGCCTTCAGGAAATAGCCCTGGGGACCTATACTGATTTTTTTTAACAGAAAGAAAGAAAAAGATCATACATACCAGTTCTGTGTTGTTTCATACTGTGTCAGAGCTTTTGGAATGTTTCCTTTCTTTACCAGCATTTTTGTTTACTGTTTTTGGTTCAGAAATGTTTGTGCATGTTCATTTGTCCCAGGATTTTTTTTTATTTTATGGCCAAACTGCACACATTTATAATTAGAAACTACCTTTTTCCATTCAAAAGGCTGTACTGGGGTGTTGATAACTAATTTTCACCAAATTTTCGGTTGAGTTTCTTAGTTTGCATCCAGATTTTTCCTGATGTAGGGATTCAAGGTGCCTAACAACAAACATGACACAATATAAGTAAGGCAGAGCAAATGCATTAAAATGTGAATATAAAACTTTTGCAAAAGTTAAATCCTATGTGTCATAGAGCACAAAAATATTAAAATACTTTTTAAACCACACTGAAAAACTACACAGTCCCCTCTCCCAAATCCCACTCACTCCATACAGAGCAGTTCACATGTCATCATTTCACATATGCCCAATGTCAGAGTTGCATTTTTACCTGCCTCGAAAGGCATGCAGGGATGGGACCATCCTGATTTCTAGGGAGGGGATTCCAGTCTGGCAGCAGAATGCCTCCTGAAAAGACCCTCTACCTTACTCCTACCAAAGGAGCTTGAGAGGGTAGTGAGACAGTGAGAAGGACCTCTCCCAATGACAGTGTTCTAATAGGCTCATAAGGAGAAATATAGCCCTTCAAATAACTTGGACCCAAGCTGTAGATATGTGTTAACCCAGCTGAGGTCTCTTCACCAAAAATATAAGTGTCTCAGTGCTCCATTTGACATATTTTATATCTCTAGTTAAAGGGGGGAAAACACTGATGTACTTCCTAACATCATTTGTGTTTTAGCATATCTGAAAAAGGAGTTGACTTACACTGCTGTTTTTAACTTGTAACCAGATAACGCTATGGTGTATGACTGTGACTTGATTCTGTCAAATATGATGAATGTACTACATGTTAACCATCACTGACTCTCTCAAGAAATCTTATTAGAAATTACATTAAATGTTGAGTAAGCACTTCTTTTCTTCTTTGATGTTGTACTGTTTACCTTGTTTTCATTCAAGAGAAGATTGTCTTTTTTTCTGAAAGAGAGCACTATGAAATAATAGAGAAACAAAATTTGCATTTTTGTTGCCACTACCTGGTAAGATTGACTATAAGATAAATACTAGGCAAAGAAAATGAAATATAGGAACTGATTTTTTTAAAAAAACTCATAGATAAGAATTCTGTATGGACCTAACCAAAGTAATCAGTGCTTACAACTGATGTTGTAGTCACATGTCCATTTAGGATGTAACTGGCATGACATTTTTAAAATGTTCATAGTTTAGAAAAATGTTGTACTTGGTCAGTTGTGAAATGCTTGTTAAAGTCAAGTGAAACTTTTACAGGTTTCCTTTAACACTGGATATTTTCAACACTGAGCAGCTCCTATATTCTGTTACTCACTGTTTTTTGCTTCCTACCTCAATGGTTTTGTCTTCTGTTTCAGTTGGCAGCTTCCTAGACTTCCGGTGATCCGGGGACTGCCTGTCCCATCTTCCATGAGTACAGAAGAGATTTCCCATGAGCACATCACAATAGAAGCAGCAGATAGTGGTCGTGGAAGCTGGACCTCTTGTTCTAGTAGCTCTCATGACAACTTCCAAAATATCCAGAACCAGAAGGGATGGGATCTCTTAAATTCTTACCGCCACACTCATTTAGAAAGGGCCATAGCTGAGGTAGAACCATCAAGTTGTTGTCCTGAAGAGACACATTTGCAGTCCCACCTTCACTCCAGCAGCAGCAGGCAATCCAAAGATGGTGTGGACTTTGATCAATCCCGGCAAAGCTGGGCTTCATCAAGTTCTCTGTCTGATGCACATGAGGCAAACTATGGAACAGTAAAACGAAGAGGACTTGACAGTTTAACAGTGGAACAGACCGAGGTTTTGGACTCCAAAGTAGAGAATGATGCAACATATAAAACTGTCACATCGAGTACAGAGAAAGGCCTCATAGGTAAGCTAAATTAAAAGTCCAAGGAAGCTCCCGCATCTGTTATATGTTATATTATTAAGCTGTTAAGAAATGACATCACCAGATCTGGGGGCTGAATTGCATGTTAAAAAGCTACTTTGTACATATGTTTTCAGTCAAATGTATCCTCAGAATGAAATGTTTCTAGACCTCCTTAGTAGCCGGCTTGCAATTTAAAAGTTTATAAAAGAGCATACTTTTTATTGCCTTACAGCAAGGGGAGTAGGCTTATGCAACAGAGAGGGGTTTCTTGCAGCTTTCTTTCTAATAAGTAAAAAAAAAAAAATAGACTCTTTGAGCACTTATGTATTATATGGGGTAGAAAGTGTCTGGTGAGTGAATCCAGACTGCAAGCCTGCCTCCATCCATTAAACATTGCCTGCTTCTTTCCCTTGCCTTCAGGAGTTGTGCATAGTTGTCATCAGATTGGCCATCATCCAAACACTGCCTATCCTAGGGAAGATCACTCCATCTCCAAAATATGCTACTTTTTGAAACTGGAGGATATGACATAAAATGACTGCTTAATTGTGCAGAGACTGCATATTGTTTTCATTTTAGAAAATATTTACATTGGGTTGCCCAACTGCATGGGGAGCAAGGGCCAATTTTCATGCCCTTTGGGCTTTACCAGTGCATCACAACATGGTGGAAGAAAATGCTGTAATTCAGTGCGTGTTATTCACACTTTTTTTCCTTTTTTTCAAAAAAGGAGGTGTGTTACTGTTACATCAGGGGGAAAATCTGCCTTTAAGTCACTAGTTTCTGTTTGGTTTTTTAAACTTTAAATCAGGAGCTGATTGAATTTCAAACTGTGTTGTATATGGGAACCTGCCATAATAATTCGAGGCACAGAGGCAAAATGAAATATGCATCCATGAATTTTCAAAGCGCAGTTATAAATTGTGTGTGTGTATGTGCTGACAAGACATCATTACTAGTTGAAGATGAGTACACTAGTTGGTGTTCTTTACATACTGTATATACTCATGTATAAGTTGAGGGAGGATTTGGGGACCAGAATTATTGATTTTGACCTGGGATAAGTCGGGCGTCAATGCTGTCTCAGGGGCCCGCCTTTGGTTGCTACTACCATTTTACTGCCCTGGCATTCAAAAAGTCCAGAAGCAGTGTGGAGAGAGTAGAGGAAAAGGGGCCAGTGGGTTTTTTTTTTTTTAGGTTCTCCTGGGATTGGCTTAAAAATGGATGGTACTTTTTTTAAAATAAGAGTTATAGTACAGTACTTGCATTGAGCTGTGGATAAGTCAACCCAGTTTTGGGTTTTGTTTTGTTTTTTACTAAAATTTACACACTTATGCATTAATATATAGAGCATCTATCTTTTCAAGATCTGGCATTTTCTAGAGGTTTTGGGTTACAAATGTCCTCATCTTCAGCCAGCACAGCCAATTGAAGTTGTATTCTGGAATATGTGCAGGTACTAGTTAGATAAAGTATTGGGAAACTAGGAAGCTAGATTCAGCAACGGAATTCATTCTAGTTATTAGAAAGCTAAGCCTGAGGGTCTGACTGCAGCCTGCCTTCACACACTTTTTCTATGATGATCGTAAGGCAGCGGCATTATTCAGTATGATGATGATGATGATGATGATGATGATTATTATTATTATTATTATTATTATTGCTATTATTATTAATCACCTGCCTCTCCTTGGAGCTTGAGGTGGGGTACAACATAGTTGAAACAGTGAAATAAAACAAAGCAATATTAACATTGATTAACAAATACACACAGGTAAAATGTAGCTTAAAATGTACCAATAAAATGTAAGTTAAAATTCACAACTTTAAATTGACTTGGAAGGCCTGCCAGAAGAGATAATTCTACACACACACACACACACACACACACACACACACTTTTCAATTGAGTGAAATTAATGGGATACAAAATATAAAAAGGAGAAACATCTAGAGATAGTCAAATACATCTAATACAGGTATGTCATTACATTGCAATATTCTATCCAATCTTTCCCCTCTTACCCCCACCCATGAACCCACCACACATGCCTTCTAACACTACTCACTATGAGTCCCATATCTAATAAAATCTACCCTTATATCTACTTTAGTAAATTCCCCTTGTGGCTATTTTGAAGTCCACATTTGTCTTCCTTTCCAGGTATTCCAATGCCAACCTCCATTTTTAAACAAACTCTTCCTTATTTCCTTCCCAGATACTATGCCCATTTGAATATAATCTAATAACTTTTCTCTCCAATCCTTTTTAGATAATTCTTTTTCACCTTTCAATTATTTTGCTAATTGAAATTTTTCCTCATCTCCTTTACTAATTTTATCTCGAAATATTCCTAAAAGGCACATTTCTAGATTTTTTAAACCTTATTCGTAATCATTTTGTTTGTTTCCTTCCCAAAAAATGGTGTACCATCCTACGGGTCCATCAAATGTGGAGGAAGGTGCCCTTTCTGCATCTTACACAGCCAGCGTTCCCTTAGCTGGGTTTTATCCATTTTAACTATTGTCTCTAGTGTTATATAACATCTGTAAAATATCTTCTATGATTGAGCCAGTTATTGAGAATTTAAATCCAGTTTCCCAAAGATGCTCCCAATTCTCCAGATCAATATTTCACCTTAGGTCTTTAGCCTAGGAGATTATAGCTATTTTTATTTGGTTGTCCTCTAGATTGCATTCTAATATATATTTATTTAAACTAGAAACTAAGCCCTTATTCCTCTTCTCAAGGATACCTTCCAACATCGATTTTCTGTTAGCAAACCCTACTTTAACATATTTCCTAGACTTACCATGCAATTGGAGGTAACAGAGCCAGTCACTTATCCCTATCTCTTCTCTCCGTTTTAATTTCCATCGGTCTTTTTCTTCAGGCATTTCCCCCGAAACATTAGATACTCCCTGTAAGTTTGGTATGACATACATATGAATGTGTTCACAATTACAGAAATGACCTTCTACTATCTAAATAAATTTGATTCTAAAAGGCAAATTAAGAGTTGAAGTGATAGCTTTTTGGAATTCCTACTGTGATGCTTCAATTAACTAATTTTAGAGGAATTCCTTTCAATTTTATTTGGATAATAAATTTGCATTCAAATACCTCTTTTTCATCTTAGATTAAATTGCATAGGATTTAGTAAAATCACAGTAGAAAGTGAGAATGAAGTAGTCTGACGTAGTCTGAAAGTTGGCAAGGTCTAAGTTCAGATATTTTATAACTAACTGAATCAATACAGTTTGCATGATGGCAAGTTGAACATTGATAAATTATTGAAAAGGCTCTATTCCTTTGTAGGTAATCTTTTAAGAGATCACATACCAATAATGTATGAAATCAGGGTGTCAAAGTTACCCTCTATACAGATTCTCACCCATGTACCCCAATTTGTTTCCATCTCTTTCTCCCAAGAATCTAAATCTCTCCTGGCAGAATGGGGAGTGGTAAAGAACAACCCTATGCTCATACAGACCAAAGCTATGCTTGTTCCCTTGTTAATATAGGCAGCAGCCAATGAACCACCTCTACCAAGTCAATTGATGCTACTACTGAGAATATGATGGCTCAATAATAAGTATACACTGATACAATTATCCTGGAGGTGCAACTTATTTTTCAGAAGGATCTTGACTGCAAAACTGATTGTATTGTATCAACTGTTGTAATTTGTTGTAATTTGCACATTATGTTGTCCTCCCTTGCTCCCAGAAATTAAGTACAGTATATACTTGAGTATAAGCCGACATGAATATAAGCCAAGGCACCTAATTTTACCACACACACACACACACACACACACACACACACACACACACACAAAACTGGGAAAACTTATTGACTCAAGTATAAGTGTAGGGTGGGAAATGCAGCACCTACTGGTAAATTTCAAAATAAAAATACATACCTATAAAATTACATTAATTGAGGCATCAGTAGGCTAAATGTTTTTGAATATTTACTGTATTTCAAAGAAAAACAATAAACTAGCTCTGTAAGTGGAAAAGTAGTCAACAAAAACAATATGGTATCAACTATAACTTTATAATTTATTTATTTACTTACTTCATTTCTACCCCGCCTTTCTCACCCCTCAGGGGATTCAAGGCGGCTTACAACTCCAGTAAGAATTCAATGCTGGTAAAATCAATAATAAAACTATAAAAGCATCCCCTCAGTTAAAACCAATTAACAGTTAATATAAAACACATTAAAAAGTATACAAATTAACAAATAATAGCATTAATAATAATAATAATAATAACAACTTCATTTGTATCCCACCCTGCCTCCTCATGGAGACAGCTTCCAACATAGTAACAGACAAGCATTCAATGCCTATATAAGCAATGCAGAGCTATATATAGATCTATAATTATATATACTAATTTCACATATGCATTTCCCCCTGAAACGTTTGCAAATCATCTATATATGTGCATTTCCCTCTTGCAATAATTGCAAGACCTATATTTCTATGTTTATATCTAGCTAGCTAGCTGTGTGTGTGTGTGTGTGTGTATTTCCCCTGCAATATTTGCAACCCCTTTAGATCTATGTTCATATCTATCTAGACATGGCTATATACATTTGTGTGTGCATTTTCCCCTGTAATATTTGCAAGCCCTATATATCTATATTCATATATATCTAGCTAGACATCTCTCTCTATATAGATAAATTATATATAGGAAATTCATACACACACACACACACACATATATATGCGCACACACATACATATACACACAGATATACAGGTACCTCTGTATATTTATCAATATCTATATATAGGAATTGCAGAGACTTGCAAACATGTGAGGGGAAAATTCATATATAAAAATAATCTATATAGATAGATACAGATATTTAGTTACATAGGGCTTGCAAAGATTTCTAGAGGGAAATCTATATATTATTTACAATCTTTGGGGAAGAAATGCAAGCAAAGACCTCCTTAAAAAATTGGCCTCTTTTCTCCTCCCCTTTCCCACCTATTTTATTTTATTTCTCCCCTTTTCAAACTAAAAAGTTGCCTGAAAAGGCTTTTTAAAACTCCCTCCCATTTTTGTTTTCTTAAGAATAAAAAAATTATACACCTGTTGCTGACTTGTCCAAATGTAGATCTTTATTTTCTTTTGTAAACACTGGGAAGAAATGGAATAGATATTGCTTCTTCTGCATCAGGAAGATCACTTCTGGTTTCTTTGCCAAAAAAGCCAGGAAATTGGATGGGTTTGAAAGACAGCCATACAAACAAGGAGAAAATGAAATATATCTCCTTTCCCTCCTCCCTCTCTTTTGGCTCAAATGGGCAACTCCAGCCTGGGAGGAAAAGTGAAGGAGGCTTTGGAAATGAAAACTCACAGAGAAATTTATCATACATTGCAAGCAATGGCCTCCAAGTTCCACTGCCTGGCTTGACCCCATTACAAGCCGAGGGCTGAAAAACACGACTTATCTTCGAGTATATACGGTATATAAAAAGTAAGAGTGCCACTTAAGCACATGGATGGAATACATATAACAATGGAACATGGAAGAGCTTTCCTTTGGTTAATGACCTCTTCAGAGAACAGGTTCTGTATAATAACTCAAGACAGATTTAATCTTACATGTGTGTTATTTTTTGAAGGAACTGTGAGGGATCAGCTTTTCAGCTACAGGGTCAGTTGAACTGATTTCAAATGGCATTCAGTAAAACCAAAAAATAAATAAATAGAGTAGTTGGCATGCAGTGCTTAAGTAGGCATCATTTCTATCTACATGGAAGTTATAAATAAGTACAAGTAGCTGCCAAAGTTTGTGTCACATATTATTGGATGGCTTTTTGCATTGTATAAATGTATTTCTAGTCCTTTCTCCCCACTGCAAGAAAGCTTTATATTCCCATTTGAATTTGTGGTAACTTTGGAACCTGGGATAGAAGGTGATATGGAAGTTCAAATACATAGCCATTTCTATTGCTGATGGCCAATTTACAAGTTGTTTGGGTCAAACATTACTTCTTTTCCTCGAACCTAGTAATCCTGCTTCTTATACTAGTGCCAGTAGTTAATTTAAAATCCTGCCAGTGGCATTTTATAAGCAATGATTCTACGTTTACTTTTTGTTATTGTTTTCAGTTTTTGTCATTGTAACATTTCACTGTTTTTTTAAATGCTTTTTTTCATTTGTTTCTTTCATTAACATTTCCATTGCTTATTTCTTGTGCCAGTGTACTGTGTCACCTCACCTAAGGAAGACAATAGGTATAGGGAACCACCGCCCACCCCGCCAGGATATATGGGGATTTCTTTAGCGGACATAAAAGAAGGATCACCTCACCACCCACATCTAAAACCTCCAGACTATAGTGTGGCGGTTCAGAGGTCAAAGATGCTGCATAGCAAGCTCTCTAGGCTCTCCTCCGCACCTCTGAGTAGCGAACCAGTGGCCTGTTTTCCAAAGAAGATGCCTCAGTGGCATAGCCAACAGCCGGCCCATGCTAAGCTAACAGATATGACTGACGCAAATAGTGAAGAGGATGGTATGTTAAAGATCTCCTTTGATAGCTATTTAGTAAATTCGTATGTAATTATAAGTGTGGGCAATGCGTAAACTGTCTTACCTCACAGAGAACACCTTGAGTGTGCATCAGTGATTCTTTTCCTTTTAAATCATTTACATATGCGTTACAAAATGCTTATTGCAACAAATAATCCTAAAAATTCAGCAAATGTATCACTGCGTGAATGGTTAACCAGCATGTTTTACAAAAAAGTCAAGTATAAAACCGATGCACAGAGTGGTCCAGAGCTTTTACCCTTGAACAATACTTAGAACAAAGAAAAACCAACTCCCTGGAGAGTAAAATGTTTTAGCTATTTCAGAATGGAAATAATAATATTAAATTCAAAGTTGCTTTACAGCATATATCAGTGGTCCCTAACTTGTGGTCCCAAATGTTGTTGGATCACCACCTCCAGAATCCCCAACATGGTCCATGGTAGCTGGGGTTTGAGAAGCTGAAGTCTGGCAACATCAGGGGTCTCAAGGTTAAGTCTTACTGAACAAATGGTAGAGCAACATGAGCAAACTTCAGCCCTCCAGGTGTTCTTGGACTTCAACTCCCATAATTCCTAACAGCTGGTAAGCTGGCTGGGATTTCTGGGAGTTGAAGTTCGAAACACCTGGAGGGCTGAAGTTTGCCCTGTGGAAGAGTAGGATTATGAACACATGACCTCATATTACATGATGAATGTAGAAAATCCCAGTGTATATCTGTGCTTATTTAGTTTTTTTTTCTTAGGACGAAGCTAAGCATTTCCTCTCATATTAGGTAGATGGAGCATTCTAAAGCCCAAAACAGCTTGTAAGTAGACTCTAGTAAAGCTTACTCTCCATGCAGCCAGAGTTGTGACAAAGTATAGCGTCTGGCCGCACAGTAATGACCATTATTTCCTCCACTTAAGATTCTGAAGTGATTGCTCTCAGACTGAAGACAGCTGAGACTTTGCATAGTGAGCAAAATGAAACCTGGAGAGACCCACTAATTGGACCACCCTGGTACTTTGTACTTGACCCCTGTTCTGAGCCCTTTACATCTCAGTGATCATACTCTAATGGAGTGGGTTCACAAAATCTTGAAGATTTAAAAGGAATCAAATGTGGAGGTTTTATGTGTTTTTCCTCGCTTCTGGCCTGACTAATGAAAACACGCAAATTTAATTTTGCTTTTCATTCCATTTGTATTCTACCTTCTGTTCTCTATCACTGTTGGGATATTCATTTGTTTGGCACATTTTCCCCATTTTTAATTGAATGCATGAACTGTAACGTCTTTCACGCTGAGATTGTGCTTACGAGATCAGGATCTTGGCACAGATGTGATTTGACATGCTTCTTTGACTTTAAAATCATTTGACATTCTTGTCTGAAGAGGCTTGCAGTTGTGCTGTACTTATAGTCACGTGTTTTAAAAAGAGTGGGAGTTTGGGTGAGCAAATGTGTGACCCTGGCTGCAGCTGCATAATTATATGTGACCATGTGTCTCATCTTGCATAAATATGAAATCAACATGTGCATGTTTTTGTTGCATTTCTAAAGCTTCGTGTATTGGGTTGCTATTAATTTTACTCTCTCACATCCCTTAAAAGAGCACATTGGGATACACTAATTTCTATTACAAAACTATCCATTGTGTTTTCTTTCTATATTACATGTTTAAAATCTTGCCCTTCCTCTAGGAAATATATGATTCTTTGCCTATCAATATAAGGTAGATTAGGCAAGAATGCATAATGCAAAGTTGCTCCATCTCTTATTCAAATCAAGGGGAGCACCATACCCTCTTTCATTAGTGTACTGCACACTTGCAAAAAATGTCTGAGTTGCAAAGGCATACCTGAAGGACAACTATTGTTTGGGTATGTACAGTAGGATTTTAACTCTTTCTTGTTTCCTTGTCATATGGATACTCATTTGAAAGTCTTTGAGCTGACTCTGTAGCATGAGCAGAATGTGGGAACAATCAAACCCACCAGTCACTGTCCAGAATCCCAGCTATCTGAATTGCAAGTGGCTTTTAACTGAAATTCTGCTAATAAATTTGCAACATACTTGATAATCCAAAAAAAAAATTGAGTGTGCATATTGTTAAAAAATATGCTAAAAAGCTATCTTATAAATGATGATGTTAACCACTTACATTACTATAGTTCCCGTTTTCAATCATTTCATTTCTGAAGGGCATATAATTGTTCTCTTATATTAGGGAGATTGTGGCCCTCCAGGCGATGTTGGACTACATCCCCAGCATTATTCACCATGCACTAAGCAGGCTAAGGCCGATATGAATTGCAATCCAACCTTAGGAGGATTAGACACCTACCCAGTCCTGCATGCTTACCCAATTTCTATCATAATAAAATGAGACTTGGTATGTTCAGGGTATTGACCATGTTACATGACTATGACATAGACATTTTACTGTATTTTTTCTTGTTTCACAGAAGATGAACAAGTATCAGCTGTCTAGCCTTTGAGCTTCCTGTGAAAGTCACAACAACATCGTAAGAAGGAACCATACAATACTGTTAGCTGTAGCTGACAGCTTGCTGCTATTGATTTCCAAATGTTGCTTGTGCTTCTATTCTGAATAATATGGTGAACTTCTCTGGATTGTCATTTTGGACTTCAGTCTGTTATGATCAGTTCCACAGCCTAAGAAAACTATTTATATCCAAGAGGGACAGACTGCTTGATCTGAGGAATACTGATCTTTTACTGCTGAAATCAATATCCAGAAGAATCTTAACATTTAATGCATTGGAGCCACCTTGGAAGGATCCTTCTCTAGAAAATCGATAGAATATTTTAGTCGACTTGGCTCAGATACTCTCTTTTAGAACCATTCTCGCTCTCCATTGAAGAATGTTATTTTATGTAATTATAAAAACTGCAAAAACTTCAGCAAAACCAAGGAAATTTCTGCAGCAATCAGAAGAGTAATTTATTAATTTGGAGTTTATCAAAGAGTTTTTGTTTGTTTATATGTGTATTGGAATGCTCTGGTTGGCTAATGTGAATGCTTTTATAAAGAAAGACAACAAATTAGTTGCTAAATGAAATGTCTTGTGCTAAGCAGTACACTTTGGACTTTGGAGGAACTGGATGTTCATGAGTGCAGCTAGAGGTTTATACAATGCAACATAAACCTCTCTTGTAAAATGCCAAGCCCCTGATGTATGTACTAAGTGTGCTTTAATATAAATGCAGCAGTAGAATACTGCCATCTGTTGGTCCTGTATTTCCGGTACAGTAAAATACATGTGGCCATCTTTTCCGCTATCAAGTGACAAAAGAACATGCAGTTCTTTTTTCTCAACATATCTTGTTTCATGCCCTTTAGTCTAACTTATTCATGGTCTGTGTTGTATGTACAGCATGTCTACCAGATAACTCATGAGGCTCAAATCCCATTGTTTCATATATTTTATAAAAGGAAAGATAAAAGAAAAAGCACAAAGAGGTATCAGCTGTTTGTGAATTATATACTTAGTTTTTGAGCTGTTTCTCCTTCAGCAAGACTTGCACTGGAAAAGCACCCACCAAGTTAAGCTATTTGGGAAACTAGTCTAAGGCATTTGGAAATTTCAAACATAATGGGAAGAAAGGTTTGATCATGGATCTGCTCTTAATAATCAGTCATAAAATCTTGTATCTCACCTTGAATCTCAAGAAATCAGGTTTTCTACAAAGTTTTTCCTTTGAGTCATCAAACGCACTTGGGACTTGACCTGTACCTGATCTGATGCACTGCCCATTTATATAAAAGCAAAGGATCCAGGACAAACCCTTCTGTTTGGAATCCATTGGCTGTTAAGCCCCTGTGAGACTTGGCTCCCATGAAGCTCTGCACTTTACCTTTCAGACCTCTCTGTAATGACAATAACATGGAAGCAAAACTCATCACATGATCTGTGACCATTAAGTTTGACAATTTGCACTGTGGACTACTGTACACTTCTTCTCCTATCTTTGCAGCCAAGTGCGTTTAAATTCCTAAACTAACCCAGACTGGTTCATATAGATATGGAACGCCTTAGGTATAGAGCCTGTACATATCGGATAACCTGCCCTAAAAGAGTCAATAAAATATGTTGGGGTTTTTTACCATCCACAAGAGCCCACAGAAGTTACTCCTTAACTTACCAATAGCAAGAACATAAGTTTTGGATGAAAGAATGGATAGCAATTATGTGTGCAGTTGCTCTGAGATTTGGGAGCACTCAGAAGGAGCCAGGGTTACTGCTCCAAATGCTGTAATAGCCTAATATCAAGCCCTCTGCTTCATCCCAGATTTAGGTGCTGGATTCAGAGGTATTCAGGATCTCATAAGCCCATTGTGTCTACAGACATAATCCTACTTTTCTACTGACTATAAAAAATGTTTGTTGTACTCTGATGCCAAGTGCTTATTCAGAGCCAAAGCATCCTGCCTGATGTTACAGAGCTACAGCTTTCCTAAAACTGTGGACTATGTGTATGCAAAAGTAAAATACAAAGCAAAGTCACTGACTGTTTACAGTGAGGCTAAGCTGTGGTTGCAGTTTACTTAGCCAACCAGAGTTCATGAAGAAAAACTGGAGTAAACTTTTCTTTTTCTCTCTCTAGTACATAATGATGGTCCAGTCAAATATTATAAATAGACATGAATGTGTTAATGTATATTTCAAGTTTACTTGTAAATTTTAGTATCGTAAATGTTTACAATCTAAGCTAGAAGGAAGATGCTTGTCAGTTTTTAATGGTGCCTCAGAGTAACTTACTTTTACACTTCAAGTTATAAAGAGGTTTCAGCTTTTCTTTTGCGCGTGAGGCAAATGCAGCATATTCTGCTGGCATCTAAACACAAGTACCAAAAATAATAAAAATCTTAAGGCCTTCTATGTGCATTATCCATATTGACTTAGGACAGTGCAGCTAACCATGCAGTAGGTTTGAACAAACCAGGAAGTAATAGGAGGAACCGGGGAAACTAGCTAGTTTAATTGGCTGACTATATAGCCACACTCAAGCCTTAAGTGTCTGAAATAAGTAGTTGAGATATCAGCCTGCGCTCTCTCTTTGCTTTCAAGGCCTTAATGAAAACAAACTGGTTAATGAAATAATTTGAAAATCTGACTCGAGTTGATATCCATGATTTCAGCAGTGCAGAGGTAGGCACAATCTACAGCTAGTTTTTCCCAATTTGGAAGTCCACTTTTTTTGCAGCTTTTGTGGATTTCAGTGAAACTGATGTATGATAGGAACCCAGTGGATTGTATGAGCCACAATCCTAGATAGCCATAGGAGAGACAGGGTGGAAATATGCACATGGTTGGACATGTGGTTCTGAAGGTTCTTAAACAACTGACACCTAGCAGAATGGACAAGCTACTCTTCACCTGAGGACACCTCATTGCCTGTTCCACCTGCTGATAAAGTAAGAACTTAAAATGCTTCTCACTGCTATTGTGCTTTTGTGCTTCCTCCCAGATGTACTAAGCCTACCTAAGACTGGGACCATCCTTAAAACAAGCATGTAAACCTCAAGCCTTAGCTCTGCAAATTGTGTAAGAAGTGGTACATACATGGTAACTTGAGGCCAATCATGTAATGTCTCAGTAACCTCATTTTTTTCCTGCTTCCTGGAGCAAAACGAAAGGATCCAAGTCTACTCCCAGGAGGTGTTATTCCTTTCCCAATTTATAAACCCACTACCCCTTATTTTTTGTTGTTGACAAAATGTAATGCCTGTTCCTCTAATCTGAAATCCATTAAACCAGTCAATTTCTTGTTTTATATTTGGTGTCTTCATAATGACAGCATCAGTAATACAACGTTTTAAAGTACATTGGTTTTAAAAACAATGTGCATCTTGTTAAATCATGTTTTCCTAATACAGAGGTCATATAGTATATAATCCATGTCAGTGAGCTCTTTTAATGGCTTGAAATTTGCACAGTGTGAGTTGCCTCATTTTGTCCTTGCTCTGATCTTCATTTGTGTGTTTTGCTTTTCTTCAGTCAATTGATCACATTGATCAGGAACACTAGCCAAAATGCAACAAGGCTTGAGTTGGAGACAGAAACAGAATCACCTTTTAAAATCAGTTCTTGAAATTTTCTGTGCTTTTAATGTCATTTTTGTTTGTCATGTATTCACAATGCTCCTCTCATGTTCTGTCCCCCCCCCCCCAATTTATTATTAGTTCAAATCGAACTTACTTCATGTGTTTTTAAAATGGCCTCCTCCTCCCTGTACATAGTCTTTATGTTTTCTTTAGTATATTATTGTGAGGACACTGGCTCAAATGAAACAGGTATAATCTTTATAGGGATGTGTGCCAACCTCAGACATGAAATCAGTGTAATTTCCCCCCTCCAGATAGTTAAATGAACAAGGAAACTTTGACCTAAATTCAAAAGTAGACTCACATAAATGATCCTCTGCTTCTATTCTAGTTGGGGCTAACAATTGGATTTAGGGTCCTCTCTCTTCAAATGTAAGTAGAACTGGGACCTGTAGATCATGTAAGCTTGTCAGTCAAGCTCATTTTGATGGAGCTGAGTTCATAATGTTGAGCTGTGTTGTGAATAAGTGGAAATCATTGGGGTAGAAAAAGTGTTGCTTTAGAGATACTGATTTTTTCCAAAGTAGTGATTTTGGGGTGCTTGTGGGTTTCACTGTACTTCTCTTAATATAACACTAAGGTAAAGCAAAAACCATCAACTGTTTTCACTTGGAAAAAAGGGTTCAGGGCTCACCTTCCTCTGCTAAAAGTTGAAGGCTTCTACACAGCACTGATGGAGATGATTTTCACTTATTTGAAAGCACTTCTTCAGGCGCTTATGCATGAAGCTCTGATTCTGAAGCAGAGCACAGAGATTCTAAATATGTGAAAAGGAGCATTGCAAGAGAATTGGTTAATTTCAAGAAGTAACTAAAGTGGGAAGACTAGGAACCTCTTTTATTCAACCTTTCATTCTGACAAATTATTTATAGGCAATAGCACAGTAATAGGTCCCCTGTAATATACCATGTCCCAAAATGTAATTTTTTTTAAAAAAACTACTTTTCAGTTGCCTTCAAAACATAGTTGAGATAAAAGGGATATTCCTTTGTTATACACAAGCTTTTATAAATGCCAACTGTTCAAATCAACTGTTCAGCTCTGTTCAGCTCCACTCCGCCCCAGTTGTTCTTGTCATTGTCTTGTCTTTAATTTTCTATATATGTATATATCCACACACACACACACATACATACATACATACACACACACACACATGGAATGCAGTTTAGCTTGGTATTAATGATATCTTGCATATGGGCAAAAACTGCACAGTTGTAATGGTATTCCAATAGCAATTGTAAAACTGCACAAGTCAGTGATTGTAAAGTATTCTGTAACAAGCAATGTTTGTCTTCTATTTTTTGATACCTCTTACACTTATGTCTTTTAGAAAGACAGTGCCTCTGTATGCTTTTTGTATTTTTACCGAGTGATTGTAAATATTTGTTATATTTTTGGTTAAGAGAATGTTTAAAAGTACTGTTTAATATCCGATCTACTAATGTTGTTGGAACCAATAAAAAAACTTAACATGGATTACTGTGAGTGGCTTTCTTTCATCTAGATAGTTTCCTGATTGCCATTCTTTAGTTTGCACTCTCATACATGTTTATTCATTTGAATGTTTTCTGTGTTGATGAAGAGCAAGAAGACACAACCCATGCCCCACCAGGCTACATGCAGCTACAGGACCTCCATGCTCCTCTCTTCTGCCATACTGCCAGATTCTCACACCCCCGTCTCTGCTTTCATGCCATGTTGGCACAGAAGGGGCAATCCTAACCAGAGTTTCTAAGTATGGTAGGAAGCGATAGCCTCCTCCTTTCCATATGCACATGTACTTATGTGCTCTCCAATGTATAGATAATACATGGGTTCAATCACTACATATCAGTGCCTTGTATGATGATTGCTGCCACAAGCCAAGAGTGAAAAACATGCAAAAATCCTTACTTTTTTCATGTAGGAAACAGAAAATCAAGTATTGGAAGCTTTTAAAAGGAGTACCACATGAATGTTTGCATTGTCTTTTAGATGACTAACTATTGTTGTTCATTCGTTCAGTCGTCTCCGACTCTTCATGACCTCATGGACCAGCTCACGCCAGAGCTCCCTGTCGGCCGTCACCACCCCCAGCTCCTTCAAGGTCAGTCCAGTCACTTCAAGGATGCCATCCATCCATCTTGCCCTTGGTCGGCCCCTCTTCCTTTCCTTCCACTTTCCCCAGCATAATTGTCTTCTCTAGGCTTTGCTGTCTCCGCATGATGTGGCCAAAGTACTTCAGCTTTGTCTCTAGTATCCTTCCCTCCAACGAGCAGTCGGGCTTTATTTCCTGGAGGATGGACTGGTTGGATCTTCTCGCAGTCCAACGCACTCTCAGAACTTTCCTCCAACACCACAGTTCAAAAGCATCTATCTTCCTTCGCTCAGCCTTCCCTAAGGTCCAGCTCTCGCATCCGTAGGTGACTACAGGGAATACCATGGCTTTGACTAGGCGGATCTTTGTTGCCAGTCTGATGTCTCTACTCTTACTATTTTATCGAGACTGGACATTGCTCTCCTCCCAAGAAGTAAGCGTCTTCTGATTTCCTGGCCACAGTCTGCATCTGCAGTAATCTTTGCACCTAGAAATACAAAGTCTGTCACGGCCTCCACATTTTCTCCCTCTATTTCCCAGTTGTCAATCATTCTTGTTGCCATAATCTTGGTTTTTTTTATGTTTAACTGCAACCCAGCTTTTGCGCTTTCTTCTTTCACCTTGATTAGAAGGCTCCTCAGCTCCTCCTCGCTTTCGGCCATCAGAGTGGTGTCATCTGCATATCTGAGGTTGTTAATGTTTCTTCCAGCAATTTTCACCTCAGCTTTGCATTCATCAAACCCCGCACATCGCATGATGTGTTCTGCATACAAGTTAAAAAGGTTGGGTGAGAGTATGCAGCCTTGCCGTACGCCTTTCCCAATCTTGAACCAGTCTGTTGTTCCATGGTCAGTTCTTACTGTTGCTACTTGGTCCTTGTATAGATTCCTCAGGAGAGAGACAAGGTGGCTTGGCATGCCCATCCCACCAAGAACTTGCCACAATTTATTATGATCCACACAGTCAAAGGCTTTAGAATAGTCAATGAAGCAGAAATAGATGTTTTTCTGAAACTCCCTGCCTTTCTCCATTATCCAGCGGATATTGGCAATCTGGTCTCTCGTTCCTCTGCCTTTTCTAAACCCAGCTTGTACATCTGGCAACTCTCTCTCCATGTATTGCTATGTGTCACTACTTTCAGTGGGATTTAAATCAGTGATTGCAGTAAAAACTTGCTGAATTACATTATCATTTTTCTTCCTTATTTTCTGTCTTAAATTATCAGGTTTGGAAGATGGATGGATTCAAGACAAAAGCCTTCAGCAGGAACTATGAGTAAGTTCATTTTCCAAATCAACCATGAAAATCACTAGGCAATCTGGTCACTAGTCATCTTCTCAGCCAGACCTACTACACATGGTTGTTGTCATAAAAATAAACAAAGAGAAGGAAGAACATTGCTAACTGCTCCTGAGCGACTTGGCAAAATAAAAATGTAATGACTGAGGAGGCAATTGATCAACCCTTCTGCTCGGCTGAGCACAGAGCAACAAATGTCAACTCTTCTGTTCACATTATTTCTGCTCTATGTCTGACAAGAACATGGGCACTTAACCCGTTGTGTATTGACACAATGCAGAAGATTGCCTTCGGCCATGGCTCCTGTGGATTTTATCACAGAGCACCGTTAGAGTTCTGTTCCCCTGGAGGTGTATTGAAATATATTGTCATCCCACAAGCAATTGCTTCCTTTGTTTGCAAATCCGGATAGAATTAGGAGTACTGAATCTCTCTAACATCAATGATACAGTGGTGGAGAAATTGTGGCTTTCCAGACATTGTTGGCTTACAACTTCCATCAACAACAGTTGGCAGAGCCAATGGCTGGGAAGTATGGGAGTTGTTATTAAGAAAGTCACAGATTCTTCAGGCCTATATTAACGGAAAGTTCATTCATTGACAAAAGGACTGGATTTAGCAAAACAGAAAAGAACTACAGAAAAAGGTCTCCCCTCACCCCAAATAAATTATTTTACTTCTGCCAGACTTTTCACAAGTTCTTGCTTGATAACTTTTTTCAAAAGTTTTTTTTTTATAATTTCATATAGAAGAAATTACATTTTTAATCAAGATGAAATACAAATCAGTGATATGATTGCTTCCCCTCCTTCCCTCTTCCCAAAATCTACACATACATGTATATTTCAGGCCTGGTTATGGGACAGAGACAGCTTTGGTCGCTTTGGTGGATGACCTATGCAGAGAACTAGACAGGGAGTGTGTCCCTGTTAATTCTCTTTCAGCGGCTTTCAATACCATTGACTATGGTATCCTGGGCCCTCTTTCTGGGATGGGGCTTGGAGATGCTGTCCTTTAGTGGCTCCGTTGCTTCCTGGATGTTCTCAAAAGGTGGTATTGGGGACTTCTGTTTGACTCCTTGGCCATTGGCCTGTGGAATCCCTCAGGGCTCTGTGCTGTCTCCCATGCTGTTATACATATACATGAAGTCATCCAGAGTTTTGGAGTGCGGTGCCATCTGTACACAGATGACACCCAACTCTATCACTCCTTTTCAGCTAATTCCAAGGAAGTGGTTACTGTTCTAAACCGGTGCTTTGCAGCTATACTGGACTGGATGAGGGCAAACAAGACATGTTTCTGAATGCAATTTAAAGTGCTGATTTTGACCTACAGAGTCTTTTATGGTTCTATGAACATGGACAACATCTACAATCTACTGGGGAGGGCCTTCTTTCTGTTCAAGCATGCATGGCGCGAACACGGGAGAGGGCCTATTGAGTGGCTGCTCCCAGCCTGTGGAGCTCCCTTCCAAGAGAAACCAGAATGGCCCCATCCCTACTGGCCTTCCACAAGCAGGCCAAGACCTTCCTCTGCCAACAGGCTTTTGGAGAAGGGTAAGGGGAGGCTCTGGGGAAGCTGGGTTGGATTGGGGGGTTATGGGTTTTAAAGACCATTTTAAAGTATTTGCTGTACTTTAATTCTGTTTCTACCACACTGTTATTATTTAATTGTATTGCTCTTTTAAAACTGTTTATTATGGATAGATGTTAGCTACCCTGAGTCCCCATGGGGAGAAAGGCAGAATAATAATAATAATAATAATAATAATAATAATAATAATAATAATTAATAATAGATGTATAGATAAAAAAAACAAAAACATATCATAACAGTGCCTACAATAAGTGTTCCCCATTACACTATTTCCCCCCTTCCACCCCCCCCCCTTGCAGTGATCTCCCATCCTTTGGGTTGAAGACATTCATATACAACCTTGCCCTTTCTTCCCAGTAAAGCACTCACCTATTCTTCCTTCCAGCACCAAAATCGTCATCCAAAAATTACAAAGATCATAACAAAGGCTAAATGACATTTGCTATAAGCAATGATTTGAGGGCCCACAGCGACCCCAATAGCCTCCATGAGTCTCATTCAGGTTCCCTCCTTGCCCTGCATCTAACTTGATGCCTTCAAGTAGACTTAGCCATATGGTGATCCAATGAATGAGAAAACTCAAAATTATCTCTTCAGGTCTTGCAGACTCAGAACTGAGGCTTCCTTGATAGAGTCTATCTGTCTGGAATGCTCTCTCTCTCTCTTTTCCTATTGCCTCCTATCTTATCAAGAATCATTGTTTTTTCATGATGTGGTCAAAGTATGACAGTCTCTGTTTAGTCATCTTGGCTGCTAGTAAGAGAGCAGGCTTGATGAGCTGTAGGACTCATTGATTGGTCTTTTTAGCTGGCCATGATATCTATAGAGCCCTTCTCCAGCGCCACTTTCAAATGAGTTGATTTTTTTTCCATTTAATTTTTTTCACTGTTTAGCTTTCACAGCCATATGTGAAGTAATTGTATCTGCCATTACATTAGAAAAAAAAAGTGAAGGGGGTTATATCTCTCCACCATGAGAACACTTTGAAAACTGCACAGCCTTTGAAGAAGGTCCTGCAAAAGGGATGGAATTGATTGCCTTATTCATTCTCCCCTGTGGGAATGAATAATGGAAAATACAACATCTTTCCACTGTTATTACCTTCTTAACAGAATTTGTTTCTCTTCTCATTGAGTTGGCCTGAAGTCTTCACTTTTGCTGAAATATAGACTGTCCTTAGAAAACATTTGTAATGGGGAATATTGTCAGTTTCCATGTTGGTGTTAAGCACACTTTTAACATCTGCCTTCTGTGTTGAATATGAAGTATGTGTGTGTGATTTGAAAACTACAGAATACAGCAGCAGTGATTTTTAAAAAGTCTTCCACAGGAGGGCAGCCCAGGATATATTTTCCTCTTGTTTAATTTCTCCACTCGATTGTGGCAGCAACTCATCAAGGCTGCATGCGGAGCAGCACAATGGAGGACAATGTCTTCATGTTTTAGGGAAAGGGAAGTGACTCTCAACAACATAAATTCACTCCTGGAAAGGCAGTGGATGCAA